ATATATGTATAACACATTGTTCACTTGTTAGTAATTTTTGTTTCCCCTCTATCACTACATTTCATCTTCATTTTCTGGAAACAATTAAAAACGAAATGGGACACTTTTACTTTTTTTTTAACTCAATTTTTTTTTTGTTTTTTTTTGTTTTTTTTTTTTTTCTGCGCAAAATATCTACCACACATAAAATGTGTAAGAAACACCAAGTTAAAATGTTGTAAATTTTTTTTTTTTTTTTTTTCTCTCTTTTACCGACGTGATTTTTTTTTCTCGAAAAATAAACAAAATTTAAATGTGGACTTAATTTATCACATGATATAAATTATACATTGTTTAAAAAATACTGTGTAGAAAATTATACTCAACTACAAATAAGTAAAATTTGTTTTTTGAAAAATAGTTTGACTACCTTATTTTTGTAAATATTGAAATATTCACCATGTCCTATTTTATTTTAACTTTTCTCATTCAAACACTATTTTTTTAATATTTATCTAATTCCAAAGACGCATGGATGTGTAGGGCTCTCTATGTTTTTTTATTTTATTTTATTTTTTTTTTTTTTGTTCCTTCTTATTATGTAAAAATGGCAGGAACATGACTATAAAAGTATGTGCACTTATCAAACTTAAGAAAAGTTAAGCAGAGCAAATGAGAAGAAATTTCCTAGGCAAATGTGCAACTAGTTTAGCGGCTGAATAGTTCCTTAAAACTTTTGCAGAATTGACACTGCAAAGATTGATAAAGCAAAAATGCATAAACAGGAATAGTAATCACCAAAGTATTTAACAAATACAAGAAAATGGTCATTATAGAAAAAAGGTTGTATTAATGAGTTATACACATTGTGTTGACTCCTGCACACATATTTTTATATGTTTCATTTTAAAGGACTTACAATTTGTAACACCGTGCAGGAATTTAACAATAACAAATAATTGTGTAAACATATACTCTTTTACCTACCCTTACCCTAGATTTTTTCTCTTGGGCAAGGTATTCCCAATTTATCTTTATACTTATTTACCTGAACATTCACGTCAGTTGTGAGGCATATAAATATTAAAAAAAAAAAAAAAACAGTAGAATAGTAAAATAGTAAAAAAATAATTATGTACATCGAAATATGATAACATAACAGAAAAAATAAAAGAATTTAAAGCACGTTAAAATATTTGACAAAAAAAAACAAAGTGAAATGCTTTAAGGTTTTTCCACACACACCAGCTATTGTTTCCCCTTTCGTGATTTTTGTTTGATTACTACCAAGGACTGTGCCTCCAGATTTAGCGGTAGGAATAGAAAAAAAAAAAAAAAAAAAAAAAAAAAATCGAAAATAAAATGATCCCTTTAAGTTACTCTTTTATATAAGACATGAAAAAAAAATATATATAATAAAATATGTTTCTTTTCCTAAATCTGCATAAAAACAACTTTTGGATATGAAAGCATCCTTACATGCATTGTATGATAGTCCATTAGGCGATTTTTACATTTCACATTTTGCACAAGTTCGAACATTTTAACATTTATATAATGTCGTGCTTGAGAAAAATCACAGATGTTTATTCTGTAGGTAAAAAAAAACAGGTTCGTCTACTCATTATATGGGTAAAAAGAGATTACTAAGATTGTGTTTGCAACATCTGAACTCAGGAAATCCATAAATGCTATACATTTGGATTGATGAGAATCACGTAGGTTTATGTGCTCATGTAAACAAAAATGTATTCGAAAGAATACGCTGAAAAGTTGTCTCCAAAAATGTTAAGACATCTCATTGGATGAAATTGAAAAAGGAAAAATTATTTGGAACAAAAAAATAAAACTGAGCGTTAGAAATGCTTATGAACGAATGAGGGTAAAGATGCGCATATGTGTTCATTTAATCAACGAAAATTTAAAGATATTCAAGAGAGTGATGATATATATATATACACATTGCATCGAATGCAAGAACTATCATATATCTGATGATAAATGTGAATTATCTATTTGATCACCTACGGACTTAATATATTTAATATATCCATTTGTCCGAATAAAAAGTCTTATTCTTTTTCACAACCGATAAAAATAAACGATAACCATTAATAATGTAAAGTTTACCATTAACTCCACTTTTGACATATGATATGGGAGTTCAACATACCTATCACTGTACCTAACTTGAAGAAGAAAATAACACGGGTGTGTTTTTCTCCCAAGAAGATAAATCTTTTATCACAATGAGAATATCGAATAAAGAAAAAGGTATTATATAAATGCTAGAGGGACAATATGGGGAAAAAAGAAGAATGAATTAAATGAATTTCCCCTAGTAATAATAATAATGTGTTCAAAAAGATGGTACAATACATGTTTAGGTGACAAGCGTGGTTGCAAAAACGGATCAATAAGCAGCTGATAAGAAGAACTTCATAGTACTCATTCACATGTTTTGTTTTCTCGCATCATATACTATATAAATACGAGAAAGGAAAGAATTTCACACCTTAATGAAACTGACGAGAGAAATGAAACAAAAATAGGATTACTCACTCTTTCAGCTAGTAGGAAATATATGTACATATTGCAGTGTGAATGCTCAGGGATTTTCTTCTCTCCTCTGATGGCATATTTACATTCCCAGATTAAAATGTACTCTCACGTTATGTGTAATATATACTTATTTCCAAATATAACATGAATTATAGAATGTTCCTCTTGTATACACATGGGATCAACATCCTGAACAAAAAAGTTGCCTGTATAATCCCCCTCACCTTCTCGGAAAAATTCCTGCGAATATGCTAAACAGACTTGTATATATAGGACATAGCAATTGCGTATATTAATTTTTTACACAGTTTTTTTTCCTAATTATTTCGTTCATTATTTTTAGCACCATCATGGCTTTTTATTTTACTTTATTTATTCTGTTTTAGTTTGTTTATTATTATTACTACTATTTTATTATTACTACTATTTTATTATTACTACTATTTTATTATTACTACTATTTTATCATTACTACTATTTTATTATATTATTATTATTTTTTATTTTATTCTATTCCATTCTATTCTTTCTTTTCACTCCAGCCGTTGCCCACTTTGATACAATTCCTATTGCATACATAAATTGGGGATAAATAATTTTGCATTACACTCGCTCCTTTTTATTTTCAATCCCTTGTTTACGTACGCATGCGTGTGTCTGTGTATGAAATTTAGCCACGATTCCACTCGTTTTCACTTACCCATTTATCTATTCGCTCATTTATTCATTTACTTTTTTGCTTTGAATTTCCTTGCGACAAAACAAATACATGCACGCACATCTGCCGATTAGAAGAGCATTGATGATACTCATAAACAAGCAAACGAACAAGCAAACACACAGAGAAAATGGCCTAACAAATGAAGCAAGATATATCATTAGTACATGCAAACATATACACCAAACTCTGTGTGGTGAGAAAGTACCAAAAATTGAAAGAGATGATAAATTAACTTTTCCTTCAATATGTAATAAAAGATGAACGAAGATGAACATTAAGGAATAGAACCATTTTTGCTATTTTTCCAATGTCAAGTTGATTTATCCAGACTGTTTGACATTTTTAACGAGAAAACGGATTTTCGATTACGGTTTTTTTCTCCTGCATCCCCCTTTTTATTTTTTTTTTCCCTTTTTATTTTTTTTCCATTTTATTTTTTTCCCTTTTTTTTTTCCCCCTTTTTTTTTTCCCCCTTTTTTTTCCCCCCTTTTATTTTCTCCTTTTTTTTTCCTTTTTTTTTTTTCGTTTTTTTTTTTTCGTTTTTTTTTTTTTCGTTTTTTTTTTTTCGTTTTTATATTTTTCCCAATTTGTGCTAAAAGATCCAATGATGTTATGGGACGATACTCCTTTTTCCAAAACTGCAAACATAATACAAGTAATATATATATTGGGATGTAATACTATAGATGTAATAGAACGCACTAAAAGGCGCATAAATTGAATTACAGACCTTTGAGTGAGAGAACCTTTGCAAGGTTCCACATCAGACAAAAGGGTAAACCCAGAAATAAAATGGGTAAAGAAGATGAGATAGTAAACCGAAAAAATATGTTTAAAAGGATTTTTGAACAACACATTGTTAGGAGTAAAAAAAGGGCAAAGATCAATTTAAGAATAGTTTATGGATCTGAGGGATTTACTACATACCGAAAAGCGAAAGAATTTTTAAATGAATTAATACATTTTTTCAAGGACATAGAGAATATCTGTAATGAAATAAATGGAATAATAACAAAAGAAGGAGGGGATCATTACACTGCCAATGGAAAGGTGAATGAAGTAGATCATGATGATAATGCTGATAGTGATCATAATGCTGTTAGTGATCATAATGCTGATAGTGATGATGGTGGATTAATGGACTATTTTAAAGAGTACTCAAAATTGTTAGAAAAAAAAAAAAGTGGGGGGGAGAGAGAGCAAATCAATTCATTGCATGCGGACGATGAGAAAGAACAAAATGGAGGCATAAAAGAATTTGAAAAAAGGAGAAATAAATGCAGCAATAATTTTGTGAATTATGCAGACATTTGCATAAACACGAACATTTGTACAGTTAATTTCGATTTTTTAAATGGAAATGAATTTAACGATTATAACTTTTTGGAAAATACAAATGAGTATGATTTAAATGTTTTATTATTATTTGTGAGTACATCTAGCTATGGCTCATTCCCCAGTAATTGCTACAAGTTTGAGCAATTATTGGAAGATCTACACAATGATTTCAGAATTGAAAAGAATTTTTTAAAAAATATTTTTTATAGTTGTATAGGATTTGGTAACAAGCAATATGGAAATAACTATTTTTGTGCACCAGCTAAAAAGTGTGATAAGTATCTTTCCAATTTGGGTGCTCAGAGGTTATTTAAAACGTTAAAATTTTGTGATGAAGAAAATAACGAAGATTTATTTCATATATGGAAATGTAGTATATTTAAGACAATTAGTTTGGGGATACTTTTCTACTGTTTTAATTATACCCAATTGTTTACATTCATGTCTTACGCAGATAGAAAAATCTATAGTTCCTTGCACCATTACTGTTTCTTTTTTTCTGCAAAAGCGAACAGCAAATGGATAAAGGGGAAGGACTCGAAAATAAAAAGGAAAACTGAAATTATCCCTATTCGATTAACGCAAGCGGGAAAGAATCCACTTGAGATTGAATATTCTCATGAACCCTCTGAAAAAAATAATCTCCAAATGTTGAATCAGTCCAAATTGGATCATGCCCTCCGAAATGGTGGTTCTAACAATGCTACTCTGAATGAGTGTGAAAAATATATCACAGATGTTCGTAAACCTCCAAACATTAACGAATGTGAAGATGAAGCAACAAATAATACAATACCTAATGGCAGAAGAGAAAGGGAGAATAATGACAACCATAGTAGTAGCATTTCTGTGTGCAGCAGTGGTGATGAATTAGAAGATCTCATAACAGATAAACCAAAAGATATGCTTTCATCAAAGCAACGAAATAAACTAGTAAAGGAAGGATATAAAATTATAGGTTCCCATAGTGCAGTAAAGTTATGTAGGTGGACGAAATCACAATTAAGAGGTAGAGGTGGATGTTACAAGCATACATTTTATGGTATAAATTCATATCAATGTATGGAGGCAACACCTAGCTTAGCATGTGCGAATAAGTGTGTTTTTTGTTGGAGACATCACAAAAATCCTGTTGGAACTGGATGGAAATGGAATAAAGATGCTGCAGAAATGATAGTAGCAGAAGGTATTGAAAAACATAAAGGTATGATTAAAGAATTGAAAGGTGCACATGGAGTTATTAAAGAAAGATTTGATAATGCAATGAATGTTAGACATTGTGCTTTGTCATTAGTTGGGGAACCAATAATGTATCCAGATATTAATAAATTAATTGATGAGTTACATAGTAAAAATATATCAACTTTTTTAGTTACGAATGCCCAATTTCCAAATGAATTACAGAAATTACATAAAGTAACACAACTTTATCTTTCCATTGATGCATCTAATGAAGAAGCTTTAAAAAATATAGATAGACCATTATTTAAAGATTTCTGGGATCGATATATAAAATGTATTAAACTTTTGAGAAAAAGAAAAGAAAGAACTGTGTTCAGATTTACATTAGTAAAAGAGTACAATATGATGAATGACGAAATTTTAAGTTATTCGAAATTAATTGAATATGGCTACCCAGATTTTATAGAAATAAAAGCTGTAACTTATTGTGGTTCCTCCGATGGATATCAATTGACTATGAAAAATATTCCATGGCATGAAGAAGTATATCAGTTCGCGTACAATTTAATACATGCAAATTCGTACTTATTGGACACTTATGAAATTGCATGTGAACATAGACACTCATGTAGCATTTTAATTGCAAAAAAAATTTTTAAAATAAATAATAAATGGCATACATGGATTAATTATGAAACATTTCAATTTCTAGTGAAGCACAATAAAGACTTTACAGCAACAGATTATTGTGCCGAAACACCCTCCTGGGCAATCGTGGGGGCAGAAGAACGTGGTTTCAACCCGTGTGATGAGAGGGTATACACAAAGGGGAAGAAAAAAAATAAAGCACCTCACACGGAAGATAACAATGTTCAATGAAAAAGAACCAAAAAAAGGAAAAAAACAGAAAAGAACAAAAAAAATTAGGAAAAAACAAAAAAAATCAGGAAAAAACAGAAAAAAACAAAAAAAATTAGGAAAAAACAAAAAAAATCAGGAAAAAACAGAAAAAAACTGGAAAAAACAGGAAAAAGCGAAAAGGAACAACCAAAAAATGTGATTTCATACTGTTGAACTATTGTTAGGAACCTAACGGTTATATATTACTGTATATAGAAGTATATATTCCCCTAGTAGGATTTTTCATTTCTAACATAATTTTGACATTCACATTACATTCGTGCATCCCAGAAACGGAGTCATCTGAAATTTTTTACTGGTTGGGCGGATTAATATTCATTTGTAATATATCTCGAGGTTGCCACAGCTAGTCGATCTTGCTTCTTTTTTTTATTTTTATCAATTGCTCTGTTTATTTGTACATCCTAGTTTGGTTCATACTTTTCCTTATTATTACTGTAATTATAATTTTTTTATTTTTTTATTTATTTTCTTATATTTTTACTTGTTTGTTTCCTCACTCTACCTCTCTTTGTTTGAGTATTTGTATGCACACATAAGGGGAATCACATATCTCATTTTTCTGCTGAGCAATTTTTTATGACACATTTTGGTAAAATTTAGAAATTAGAGGAAGACGCTTAGTGTTCCCCCGTTTATTTTATTTTATTTTATTTTATTTTTTTTTTTTTTCTTTTTGGAGTAAAACTATCAGTATTAAGAATAGAAAAAACCTTCTTTATTTTCGAAATTGAAGAAAGCATTTTTATGCTATGATATGTACATGTGATGGGTGTTTCTCCTACATGATATGGTTAGAAGGGTGGAACCTCAAAATGCTAGATAGGACAGCTAATCATGGAGCAATGTGAATAATTATATGTACTATGAGTGATGGGAGAACGTTTGCAAACTTGTATAAATAATTCATTTTTTTTTGTTCTGGTCTTTTATAGACGGGTATTTGTATTTGGTGGATTACTGTTCCATTTTTTACACTTTTTCAATTCCACTTTTTTCTTTTTTTTTTCCTTCTTTTTCTTTTGCTATTCCATTTGAACCTCCAATTTTTTAAACATTTGTAAAAGTTGAGCAAGTCAAATTGGTCCTTTCATTCATGCATAGCACAACGGCTTCTTTCAATGAATGAAAAATATGCAAAGTATGGAGAGACTTTTACAAGGACGTGTAGGATCCTATATTAACAATTGTATGCCAGTAGGATCGGATTTATCATATTCCATTTTGATACTGTCAATTGTTACAGCTTATATGGTTTTGGGAGTGTTTCCCTCTTTATCAGGGGAATGATATAAGTGCATATATAATGTAATGCATCTAATTGTGAAACAAGGTTAATGGGACAAATTAACTGACGGGGGAATGGAAAGTATCATACTTGTCATAAAAAAACTAGGAAAAACCGTGGAAAGGTACCAATAAAAACTTGTAGATGTTTAAACTGACAACTATATATAAGCGTAAACATTTGGTATGGAAGCAGAATTAAACGAAAAATTAAAGTTTTACCTTTTTTTTTTTTTTCTTTTTTTTTAGACAAATACCAATTTAGCTTTAACGTTTTTTTTTTTTTTCCCTGTTAATTATGAAGGAAAAAAAAAAAAAAAAAAAAAAAAAAAAAAAAAAAAAAAAAAAAAAAAAAAAAGAAAGAAAAAAAAAAAAGAAAGAAAAAAAAAAAAGAAAGAAAGAAAAAAAAGAAAGAAAAGAAAAAAAAGAAAGTACAAAATTTAATATTTATCCATAGAATGTATAGCAAAACTATTTCAATTGAGCATTAAAACTTCAATTTTTAAGGACATAGAAATTGGTCTGAATTAAATCGCCAAAAGTATGGAGAGTAAAAAATACATTTAATTTTGTCGATGGAAGCACAATATATGTTAAGAAATTGGTATACTGTGTTTGTTTCTAGACATGCATGCAATATTTTTAGTACTTATAAATTACGTATTTTTTGTTCTTAATAAGTGGACAATCTGAATTGTTTTTTTTAGTACCCTTTTTTCACTACATATATTTAAGAAGTCATTACAGTCAAGTGGGATTATCTAAATAGTTATAATAAAAAAAAAAGAAAAAAAAAAAAAGAAAAAGAAGCGTTTTCTTCTAAATATTTTATATTCCCTATTATGCATAAAATATACAGTAATTATATATATATGATGCCACAAACATCTCATCCTTTCGACTTCGAAGGTGTCCTATATTAGGAACAGAGACAGATGAAAAAGAAGAAAAAAAAAGAGAGAAGGAAAGGAAGAACTATTGGAAGAAAGATGGGAAAAAAAAAAAAAAAAAAGAAACACAAAATATGCACGTAAATCTTGTATGTAAAAATGATTTATGTTCAAAAATGCATGTGCTAAAGTTTTTTATGAAAATTTCTTCGATACTAAAACATTGCAATTTTCAATTTTGAAGTAGTAAAATGCATGTAAATACGAGATAGACATCTGTCATATATGTAATATTTTCCCCCTTTGTGAATGAGGTGATTGTGGTACGAAAATATGTCATAAAGAAGCATGGTAAAATGCAGTTGCAACTTTTCTTATTCTTGTAAGTCATGTATTTTTAATGCCGAACATTGTGAATAATATTGTACAATTATTTTATTTTCTTTTTTTATTATAGGAGTATGAAATATATGTATGTAGTACTCTTCTTCGCCCTCCTTTTTTTCGCAAATTTTTTTGGCCTCTTATTGCTTTTCAAAAGCGCTACTTAATTTTTCCAATTAACGAATAATCAATCCTATTTGCGGACAAAATAGTGCAGAATTTATTCATTTTATTCCTTTTTTAAAACATGGGAAGAAATAACATATTAACAAAAAGGTGAAAAAATGGTAAAATGGAAGGGCCCCCATAATTTTTTTTTTTTTTTAAATGTATTTTTTAATCTTTTGGATTGTAATACAAAAAAAAAAAAAAAAAAAAATAATAAAATGAAAAAATGCGGACGCCAAAAAATAAAAAATGCCGACAAAAAAGAAAAAAAATAAATGCGAAAGGAAAAACGTTCGTAAAAAAAAAAAAAAAAAAAAAAAAAAAAAAATACATGTATACATTATTTGTTGCCATGCATAGAAAAATGTTGAAAATAAAATAAATAAAAATGATAACGAACAAAAAAAAAAAAAAAAAAAATTCAGTATTCCATTTTGCAACATGTTTCATGTGCTATTATACAAAGTAAAAAAAAAAAAAAAAAAAAAAAAAAAAAAAAAAAAAAAAAAAAATGTATAAATTTTTTTTTCCAAGAAAAAAAAAAAATTAAAAAAAAAAAAAAAAAAAAAAAAAAAAAAAAAAAAAAAAAAAAAAAAAAATTCAGTATTCCATTTTGCAACATGTTTCATGTGCTATTATACAAAGTAAAAAAAAAAAAAAAAAAAAAGAAATAAAATGAAGAACAAAAAAAGTTAAATCTTCTTTTCACTTTTTGACAGTGGAAGCAGTAAATTAAAAAAAAAAAAAAAAAAAGAAGAAAAATTTGCAAAATTATTAGAACTTTTTTTTTTTCAATATTTATTTTTAAATTTAACTCCATTTTACATTCTATAGAATTTGATTATTACATATATCAGATATACATCTTTATCCATGATTTTGTTTTTATCTATATATGCCTCTCCTTTTTTATTCTCTACATAATGAAAGAGAAGTTATATTTTTGACATATCCTGTACATATATGTTTAATGTTGTTAAACGCTCGAATATATATATATATATATATACATATTATGCCATTAATAAGAACTTAGTATTGTGTATATATGTAATCTTCAATGAAGGCTGCTTGATATGTATTTTACATATACATATGAACCATGCCCCTTGTAACATTATGTATTACATTTGTGTGAATAATAATGTGAACTACGCGGACATATGGGAAATACATAATTATGTAATATAAATGTGAGATATATTCTCATTTATTCCCGTTCAACACAGCGCATTTTTTTTTTTTTTTTTTTGCGCACCCTTTTGTGAAACACCCTACATGAGTATAAAATAGTGCGAGAAATGGAATTAATTTCGTGTATACTTGTGTGAAGTTGTTGATGTGATGTGTTCAGATAGAATCACATTTTATTTGTTAAAACTGATTTAACGAGTTTGCTATACGAATTTGATTTAAATGTTGCCTTCCTTTTTGCCTTAAAAAAATGTTGCCTCATTTTTTGCCTTAAATTTGTGCCTTCTTTTTTGCCCTAAATTTATGCCCTACATTTTGCCCTAAATTTGTGCCTTATTTTTTGCCCTAAATTTGTGCCTTATTTTGTGCCCTAATTTTGTGCCTTATTTTTTACCCTAAATTTGTGCCCTATTTTTTGCCCTAAATTTGTGCCTTATTTTTTACCCTAAATTTGTGCCTTATTTTTTGCCCTAAATTTGTGCCTTATTTTGTGCCCTAAATTTGTGCCTTATTTTTTGCCTCTCAAAATTTTCCTCCCTCGTGTCTCGAAAAAGCAAGAGGGTGGGGAATTATGGAAAAAAAGAAAAACTGTCTGTGTTCTGCGCGTATTGTATATATATAAAAAAGAATACAGATATAAACATTGTAATAAATACTGTGCATATGTGTATATATGTGATTTTCTTTTTTATCATTTTACAAATTGTAAATTAAATAATATCCATATATTTTACATACGAGCACGATGAAAATATAACACAAAAAAAAAAAAAAAAAAAAAAAAAAAAATGTTAGCACGTTTAATTAATAATATATATATATTTTTTATAACTTTTATTGTATAGTAATAATATTAGTAGTGTGTTTAATGGGAATAAATGTAAAGTAAAAAAAAAAAAATAAAAAATTTATGTAATTTGAAAACCCCCTCACACCTAATCGTCTTTATATTTAATTTACGCTCATTTTGATTCCTCTGATTCCTTTTTTTTTTTTTTTTTTTTTTTTTTTTTTTTTATTTTTTTTTTTCTTTTTTTTTTTTTTTTTTTTTTTTTTATCATTTCCTTTCAATCGTAAAAATTATGTAGAAAATTCATGGTAAATTTTACATACTTTGTATTATGGGAAAATATAAAAATTTATATTCTTGTTACGTGGTTTTATTTATTTATTTATTATTTTTATTTAAAGTTAATGAAAATTCACCAAGATATATATATATATTTTTTTATTATAAATTTACGAAAAGAATATTCTTTGTCCCCCTTCCATATGCTATATTTTATTTGTTCCTATATTAATTTTTGTGAGTAATGTTAAGCATTTAAAAACCGTAGAAAAAGAGTTCCAAAAGAGAATAATATATTACATTTTTATGAATATTTAAAAAAAAAATAAACAAATTAGTGAATTATAAAAACTACACTTTAATACGTATACATAAATATTCTATACATATTTTATGATTTTAATCTCATTGAAAAATGCACTCCCATTTTTTTTTTTTTTCCCTTTTTACGTCATTTAATATTTGTTCCATATATAATTATACTCTTCAACTTTTAAGTTTAATTTTTTATTTTATTGTACGTGTAATCCTGTACATCATTTTTGGAAAGAAACATATTTATGTTCTCATCTTTTTATATAGAAAAATACACACTTGTGACAAATGAGTACGCTCTGTCATTTGGATATGCATATGTAAGCCTGTGTGTATGTATATCTAAGCTTGTGTGTATATATATCTAAGCTTGTGTGTATATATAGCTAAGATTGTGTGTATATATAGCTAAGCTTGTGTGTATATATATTATTTAAATGCACATTTCTTAAGTCACAATTTTTGAACATGTGCACGCATACACTTACATGATGTATGAAGAGCAGAATACATTGAACATAACGCTTTTTTAGTACCATTTTTAAGGGCACATTTGAATGACATATACTCTTTATGCCATTTTTTGTATTTAAAAATTCTGCTGAGTATTACATTTTTTTAATTAGAATTTACACACCGTTCATTCAAGTACATGTATACTTATGTACATACGTATATATACGTTAAAATATACAACAATACGTTTATAAACATTGTTACTTACTTTTGCTTTCCAAACAACCTAAACCTTATTATGTTCTCTTCTGATATTACTGCTATATATGGTAAAAAATTGAAAATATATGCCTTTTTTATGTTTTTAATGTGTACATGTATGAATATATATATATATATATATATTCGCGTCTGTATACATGGATACGCTCACATAACCTGCGTATTTTTGATGCACGTGTTTTCTCGTTAATTCCACTTTGTATATTTCTTCATCGATTGTTCATTTTGTTTTTTTTCTATTTAAACTTTTTTTCTTTTTTTCACGCATCTTCAGCTTTAAATTTTAATTTTTTTTTTCAGCCCCATTTATGCCACCAAAAAATTGCGTTCTCTTTTTTTTTTTTTTTTTTTTTTTGCTTCTTGGCTTACGTGTTTAAGCATGCATGTAAAACAGGCTATGCGTAAGCACTTTTTTTATTTTTTACATATTTTCTTTTATTTTGCACACCAACTTTTTTTTAACACGCAGTCATTAAACTGCACCAAAAAAACAAAAGCATATGTGCACAGGTACATGTTAACACAATTTCGTTTTTTGATGCATAAATTTAAGAACACTTGCTTGAACATGCTCATAAGAAACACACTTTGGCCTGTATATGAACACATATTTATTTATATAACACATACATCTGCTTACAGCTCCCTTATGTAAAAATATTGTGCAAATGTTTATGTACAAAATTGTAGCACCACAATTAATCCTGACATTTAAAACATATCACTGTTAGTGTTTTTTTTATTTACATTCATTCTTAGACCCTTTTCCTACATTTTAGAAATATTGTTCTAATTTATGACCCTTACTACCTTTTTTTTTTTTTTTTTTTTTTCATTTTAAACATTGTATCTTTACTTTTTTGAACGTTGTCTTTGTTTATCATTATTTTTCCCATTTAGAGAATTTAGCTAAATTTGTGAATTTAACAATTTATCAAAATTTAGAAAAATCAAGCAAATTCTTACTATGTATACTTCCATTTATGTATTTTATATATATTTACCTTATTGTTTTTTTTTTTTTTTTTTTTTTTTTTTACATTTTATGAGTTTATTTGAAGAAAGAATAAGATTATACTATTTATTTTTTTCCTTTTTTATTTTATACATGTATATGTAACATCTACCCTAACTTAAAAATTTATGTGAGGTATATTTCGTTTTTTTTTTTTTTTTTTTTTTTCCTTTTTTTATGTGATACAATAAAATCCTAGTTTACATAGTTTAATGATTTAATAGTCAACGATTCGCATATTACATTTCTTGTTTTTTAAGTTAGAACAAGCATATATTTAACACACATGTAAATATATACATTATACACAAATTATGGATAAGTCTCACACATAAGCATTACAAACCTTACCCAGCACACACGATTATTACGCTTTAACAGCCATAATTTTTATTTCCATTTATGGTTGAACATTGTTGCACAGTCCATATATTCATACATCTCATGTTTTCGCATGTACTCAATTTGAACGAGTATACGTTATCACTTAATTTTTTTTATCCTGTTTCATACACATATATGTACATGTATTCTAGTACACATAATTATATATATGTATGTGCATACTTATATAATCATATGTATACATATTTATACACACATTTATACCGCATATGTAATAAGGCTTTACCTTTTTTTTTTCTTACTTTTAGAATACCCTTTTTTTTTTTTTACGTGTAAATTGTAATTGTTTAAATATAATTGCATTACAAATAAAGTAAGAAATAAGAAAAATAAAATAAGTTTAGGCATAAGCACATATATATATATGTTCTAAACAGCAGTGAATCTTACAAGAATAATGAAATTATGCACAATCCAAATGAGCTAAAAGCCCATCTTGCTACTAAGTTACCTGAACAGCAATTGAATACATGCACACTACACACATTAACCCCCTTTTCTCCATTACAAATGCGACATAAAGAAGTATACATGGTGTGAATATTTTTTGCAAAAATATATGAATATACAAAAAAAAAAAAAAAAAAAAAAAATTCGTAATACGAATAGTTATACACACGACTAAAATATATATATATATTACATATATACATACACATATTTTTTGCACGCGACAAGCCCAAAAGAATATATTTCTTCCCTTCATCTGCTGCCATGAAATTATATAGTACATGAACATAACATTTGTCGCTTGAAATAATAGAGAATATACAAGTACCGTGTAAGAAGTTTGGAACACATTTAACAGTTATCTTACTATTACATGTAAGTGCTTATACTTGTATATACTTAAATACACACACTGTGCACATAAATATCATTTTGACATTTAATCCATGGGTCTTAAAGCACACGAGTAAAAGATAACACAAGAATTAATGAGAGAGAAAGAATAATTGTTGACCATTATTTCCAGTTTGAAAATCATTACCAAAAATTACATCAATATATTTATGTATGTGTAAATAAAAATATCCAATAAAATACGGCTAGTTTGTTTTGTTATGCGAAGCAAAATATTTATGAAAGTAACTCCTTTGTTTTTTTTTTTTTTTTTAATCTCATAACTGTAACACATACATATATATAAAAACGATACATCGCCAAGGTGTGAGGAGTTAAGAAAAGGTATACACAGATATGTAAAAAAAAAAAAAAAAAAAAAAAAAAGAAGCCAATCACATTTCATGGAGTTTAAATATTACAAAAATTACGTACAAAAAAAGAGCAAGACTATAAGTTTTTTTTTTTTTTTTTTTTTTTTTTTTTTTTTTTTTTTATATCGATTTCTTATGCGTTTCCTATTTTCCTTTATTGCAAAATTGGATAATTGTAAAAAGAGTCGATTTGACGAAGTGGAAAACTAACTATATATTACAAAATTTCTGAATTTTTGTCTTTATAACTTAGTATATATATATATATATATGTGTGTGTGTATGCTGTGTGTGTAAACTAAAATGATGAACATCAAAAACATGAACAACAACAACAACCAAAATCAACATCAGTCAGCGTTGGTGGTAACTCAAATTCCACGAAAGAAGCAATTTTATAAAACGAAGATGTGCCCATGGTTTTTTTCTGGTAGGTGTGATAGGGGTGTAGATTGTTTATTTGCACATTCTCAAGAAGAATTAAATCCAATTCCTGATTTATCATTTACTAGTTTATGTCCATTAGCAAAAAAAGCAGGAATCTGTAAAAATGAAAAATGTAGTTATGCACATTCTGTTTGTGAGTTAAGGCCGACAGGTGATTTATATAAGACAGCCCCATGCACTAAATTTCTAAGAGGAAAATGTAACGCTGAATCACATTGTAGACATGCCCATTACATTGAAGAACTTCGACCGTTACCTGGAAATCTATCACCATCTCAAAATGCCATCAACCTTATGCTCGCGGCTCCTTTTGCTAATTCCTCTCAAAAGAACAACAAAAATAAAAGCGGCAGCAACGTAAATAGTACGAACAACAATCTGGGCAGTAACAACAACAACTTGGGAAGTAACAACAACAACTTGGGCAGTAGCAGCAACAACTTGGGCAGTAACAACAACAACTTGGGCAGTAGCAGCAACAACTTGGGCAGTAACAACAACAACTTGGACAATAGCAGCAACAACTTGGGCAGTAACAACAACAACTTGGGCAATAACAGCAACAACTTGGGCAGTAACAACAACAACTTGGGCAATAGCAGCAATAACTTGGGCAGTAACAATCGCAGCAATAGCAATCACAACATCTGTAACAGTAATAGTAGTAGTAGCAACAATAATATGAATAGTAGCCATCATAAATGTATCAATCATAACCATAACGCTTCAAAACACAACAAAAACAATCATACAAGTGGTAGTAGCAGTAATTACCTGACAGAGGAGAATAAGAATAACGAAATTTTATTGCAGACTTCAAATTCGCTACTTTGCAATTTTTCTACTCGGAACGGAGTGAGTAATAACAAGTTCAACAAGAATTTAGAAAAGAAGGGTACATCTGATAATAACATCGGATCAATCTTAAATGGAAACGCAAACTGCAACATAAGCAACGGGATGATGAATTGCAATCTGAGCAGCAATATGAACGGCAATATGAACGGCAATATGAACGGAAACATAGGGAACAATATGAACGGAAATATCAATCGAGGCATGAATCGCAACACGAACGTGAACAACAGTAACATAGGAAATTCGATGAACAGTTGCATGAACAATTGTGTGAAGAATTACATTTCTTCAGGAATGAGTAGAGGAATGGGCAGCGGAATGGGCAGCGGAATGGGCAGTGGAATGGGCAGCGGAATGAGCAATTGTATGAGCAGTTGTATGAACACATGTATGAAGAATTTTATGAAGAACGGAATTAACATAAACAAAAGTTACCAAAAAAGCTCATCGTATCCAAATAATAAGCTGTACAATATGGTGAAGAATAAGGAGAATAATGAAGAATATAATAGAGGAATGAACACCATGAATATAAAAAATTATATGATCAGTAATAACAAAACGGATAGTGCAAATGATATTATTAATACAATTAATTTAAGGAAATTGCAAAATATATGTAGTACCTCTAAGGAAACGAACGGAATCCTGAAATCTCTGAATGAATTATTAAATCATGATATGAACATGAACCGATCCATAAATGGCAACATGAACGGAGGGAACAGTTTAGTAAATAATGTTGGAAGCAACGTGAGTAGCGATATTGTGAACAATATATCATGCATGTCTGGCATTTCGAACGGTAAGACGAACATGACCAATATGAGCAATATGAGTAATATGAGTAATATGACAAACATGAGTAACATGACTAACATGAGTAATATGAGTAGTATGACAGACAAAACGAATAGCATAAACAATAATCAATACTTTAATTTAAGCAAGGTCAAAAAGAACGATGCAATGATTAAGTATAATACCGCTTTTCCAAACGAAGATACATCAACATCAATGAGAATGTCGAGAAATTCATCAAAAGAGTATGAACCAAGTAACGAAGAAAAAAAACTAGCGGACACAATTGAACACATGGAAATTACTGCTCAAGATAGTGCATTAAAAGTTATTGAAGATGACAATGATAAATTGAATATTTCTGATATTAAAAGCTTTTTAAAATTGTTACAAATGACAAATGCAAATAATTATAAAGACGAAAACTTTTTATTAAATAGCGAATTTAAGAAGAATAATCATATTATGCATGAACAACAACAATTGCAGCAGCAATATAAATCTGTGCCAATAATGAAGAATACTAATAATCACACAAAACAACATCTCAAAGGTAATGAAGTGATGTCACCAGGAATTCATCATTTATGTGAACATTTTTCACATAATACAAATATGCCAAACGCACAAAATGATGAAAACAATATGAATAATAAGTATGGTGTAAATGGGGACCTGAAAAATATTTATAAACTGAATAACAATGCATTAATTAGCTGTTCTAATTTTTGGAATTATCCTGAAGATGAATTAAATACAACAGCTGCAAAAATTGTGCAAAATGTGGAAATTTTGGATTATTAAAAAAAATACACAAAGGGAAGGAAGGGAAAAAAAAAAAAAAAAAAAAAAAAAAAAAAGAGACATTCTCTTTTCAATTGGGAATATATTTATATATTTATATATATATATATATAGATGTATATAACTTGTACCGCATTACATATATATATTTTGTATAAAACGAAGAGCAGTAAATAAATAGTAAAATGATGATGGGAAGTGTCAAGCCTGCCATATATGGATATAAGGACAACAGGAAAAATGTTGCACAAGAATCGAAATAGACTTCCACGTGAGCATACATATACAACCCTATATTTTTGTTCTGTTTAAACCTAAACAAATGGTATATACATATATATATATATATATTATAAATTTGTATGAGCTATCTGATTTTTCCCTCCCTGCACACACACATCCTTTGAGAAGCATTAATTCATGATGATTAAATTAAACGTGCATGGGACAACTTGGTTAACTTTCACATTTTGCAAAATTTCAAATGAAGATAAATGAAAACCGCAGAATATACAATGCAAGCAAGTAACCATAAGGCGGATGAAAAACCAGATGAAGAACATGAAGAAAAAAATAAACAATATGTTAATTATGCACATGTGTTGTTAGTGTCTGTTTAAAATGTATGTTTTTGCGTGCATATATTTCTCTTTCATTCTCTCCCGTATCTAAACATCTTTTCGATCCTTTTAATATTTGCTAATACCAAATAATTGAATACAAAATTTCCCTTATTTTAAAATGTGTCAAAATTCATGCCATAAATAAAAGCATATTATATATATACTTTTCTTTTTTTCTTTTTTTTTTACACGTTCCAGGATATCCATCACGTGGTCATATATTATGTACATGTGACGGAACATTTTTATCTATCTATCTCTGTCTATATATATATATAGCCCTTTGCTCAATTATATGACATCTTGTATAAACACGCATGTATGTGATAAGCATATATGACGTGTATGATATAGTAGTACATATGCATGTATATATACTGCTTAACATTATGTACATACATATATGTGTGTATATATAATATACGTAAGTAATTCTAAAATGATGCCCATTTTTTTTTTTAAATTTTCCATCACGTTTCCTTTTTTTTTTTTACCACATGTATTTAATTAATTAATGTTATGCATATATTATACATACATAGATACATATGTATATATATATATATATATATTTTTTTTTTTTTTTTCATGTATTTGTACAAAATGTGTAATTTTATTATTTCTTTTTTTTTTTTTTTTTCCCACATGGTATCGCCCCCCGCTTTTTTTTTTTTTTTTTTTTTTTTTTTTTTTTTTTTTTTTATTTAATATCAACCATTTGTCTCAAGTGTTCTGATTATTGTTTTACGTCATTTTACTTTTAAATTTTTCACTTTTGTTTAAAATTTTTTTTCTACACCTTATTACATTTCGTTTCTTGTTTTATTAAAATATATATGTGTGCTTATAAGCAAAAGTTTTTTTCCATGAGACAATTCGAAAATAAAAAAAAATTAATATCAAACATATATACATATGTGTACTCATAAAAATAATATAAAATAAAATACCAAAAATAGGAATGAAAACAATAATACATCCTCCAACAAACGGGAAGAAACAAGTTGTCAACAACATTATGTCTAAAGAGGAAAAAAAAAAAAAAAAGAAAGAAAATTAATTTATACTAAACTGATAAATTCTGTGTTGTGAACATAGAACCAAAGGTGAAGGAGGTAGACCAAGAAGATGCTTTCCTTGTAATTTTTACAAAATGCAAATATGATATATCGAAACCTATGATTAAGATATAAAACAAAAAAATATGGCTATTATTTCTTTTCTTTTTTTTATTAGCACATAAAGATAAATCAGTATATGTGCATATATACATAAAAACAAGTGCATATAAAAAATTATATATTATATATATTTTCCTAAGGTTAATTGAACATACGGTTGTGACCAAATGAGAAAATAATCCTTTTTCTTTTCCAATATTTTCCAAGTGCGTAAGAGTTCGCCTGACCTATTCATAAAACTCAGCATAAAATAAAACATAGCAGAACAGAACAAAAAAAAAAATAATAAAATAAAAAAGCAAAAAAATAATAAAATGATAAAATAAAAATGAAAAAAAATAATAAAATGATAAAATAAAAAACATTTTTTTTTAACACCCAATTGGAGCAGTTCTCGATTGGGCTCTGTTTAAAGGTAGTTATAAATTCTGTTTTCTTTAATTTTTCTCTTATATGCTCTGTGAATACGAACAAATAAGGAGAGCATGGAAAATATGGCTATTAAATATGTTTTTCAATTCCCCTCCCTTACAACATTTTTTAATTATAAAAAAGAAAAGAAAAATATACATTTGCATAAGGTACACGATTGCATATTTAAAAAAAAAAAAAAAAAAAAAAAAACAACATTCTGCACCTAAAAGCAAATGAATGGCAAAAATAAATTGATAAGAATGACCGAATAAAAAAGCCATTACTAAGGAACCAAAATGTGCTGATAGAGATGGTACATTAGTCTTTCAAAAAAAAATATCCTAAATGCAGAGATATTGAAAATTAATTTGTGTGATCACGAAATAGTGTGAATCACATATTTTGTATTATATATCTCATCTCAATTTTGTTTGTAACGCATTGTCTAATGCCTTTTGACTTGCAGCTACAAAATAAAGCTCCATATGTTTGTACATTGGAGATTTACTACGAAGGTATGGGTACTAAGTGTTAATATTTAACTATATTTCCGATTTAACCCATTTTACAACTTTCGAATTACTCTGATCTGATAAAAAAAAATTACCTTTTGAAAAGATGTATAAAACGCTAATATTATTGCATTCTCTGAAAATTACAAAATGAAACTATTCCATTCGAGTATTCACAAAAAGAAAAAAAAAAAAAAGTGTAGTTTGACTCCTAAGCAATGAAGCAAATAGTATTGTCAATTCTAATTGGACAAACAAATCAAAGAGCATATATAATTTATGTGTAACCTCTATGTAACTTCTGCGTAACTTATAGTATAATGAACATTGTACATAGAAAAGAAGTTCATGACTTGTAAGAATACATATAAACAAAAACAAAAAGCACATGGATGGAGAGAAAAAGAAAAGTAAATAAATAAGAAAAAGTTGTTTATTTATTTAATTGCTATACTTCTTTGCTTTGCTTTATTATATTTTTTTTTTTTTAAGAACAAAAGTATGCATCACATAAACATAAATTCAGTTTTACAGAAAGCAAAAACTAAATTTACCTAAAATCTTGGTAACTACAATTTGCACTTTTAAAAAAAAGATTTTTTATAATAGTGATGGATAAAAATATGCAATACACAATTCCCAAAAGTAGCTTAGTTAATCGACTTATGAAAATGCAAATGTTATGCATTGGTATTGCAGCTCAAGTGTGTACCACCCATAGCAGCATGCAAACAAGTACAATAATGCTTGAGTATTACGGTAAAAATTTTTCCATAAAAAAAAAAAAAAAAAAAAAAAAAAAAAATAGTGGAATAGTCACCCACGTTCTTTAATGTATATTCACAATGAACTTTTAGCAAAGGAATTTTGACGATATTTATTTATTTTATTTTTTTATCAACATTTTCTGCGCCATTTTTATTCTAACTTTTACCCTCACTTTTGAAAGTCGCACATTTTAGCTTCGCGCTTTTATCTGCTAATATTATCAGCATTTTTTACCCTCTTTTTTATACCCTCTTTTTTACCTTCCTTTTTAACATCACTTTTTAACCTCTTTTTTTCGGGTCCTTTTTATCATCCTTTTTTTTTTCCTTTTTTTTTTTCCTTCTTTTTTACCTTCTTTTTTATGTTCCTTTTTTTTTTTTTTATCTCCATCTGGACGTTGCACACCATATAATTTTTCAATTTTTGTTTCATATTCTTTTTCATATTAGTGTAGAGAAAAGGTATGAAGTCTAACCACAGAACTATGCGATGAAGGTAATATATATACCTTACATATACACCGTATGTAAATATTCCACAGTAGCCCTTGTTATGTATATCTTTTACACCCATTTCATTTGTATAAGAGAAAGTAAAGATAAAAGTATCACTTTTATTTCTTTTTAAATACACAACTAGTGGAATTTCCTACCGCGCGCATTTTTTAGTAGAATTTAGGAAATTCTTGGCCATCAGAAAATTGTGTATTTTTGTTTTACCTACGAAGAACCCCTTCACGAGGACTTTATAAATTTATCATACAAGTAAGCACACCCATATTTGCGCACAGCATCACGTGACTTTGCTACACGACTCGGTTTTTGCACAAGTTGGATTTTTTTTTTTTGCTTCTGAAAAGTGGCAGAGACCCTCGTGATAATATACATATATATATATATATGTAAATGTAAATGTGCTTGTACTTACTGCCATTGTAGAATACTGTGCAAGCACAAGTTTTTACAAAAATGAAGCAAATTTTTTTCATATTCCTAAATATGAAGAGGAAGAAGGCGCCCCTTTTTTTTTTTTTTTTCTTTTGCCCTTCGTCTATATGTGCATTTGTGTATATGGTCACTTTGCACAAAAGGAGTATGAGTTATGCTTATGCGTTCATTTGGTTATGTATGACTGTGTTAACACTGCACTAAATTTTTCTTCATTTCTGTCCCATTTGTAGTTGAATCTATCCTAAGAAAGTTCTTCGCACGTATGTTCCATTTTATATGTACATGCGAATACGATATCATCATCAGCAATAGGACTGTATTGAGAGAGATAGGTTTACACAGATGTAAAGATGTTTACCTCATCGGGAGAACTTTTATATTCAGTTAAGGTGAGTGAACCTACAAGGAAGGACTCTACAGGTGTGTATAGGAATTTAATGTACAAAGAGAAATTAATTGATAATTTTGAAGATGATCCTTTAAATAATATATGGGAAATGTTCGATCGAGTATCTAAGAAATATAAAAATCGAGATTGTTTAGGTACACGTGTTAAAGTGGACAACAAATTTGGAGCATACAAATGGAAATCTTTTACAGAAGTAAGAGAGTTAGCCATTCAGGTTGGATCAGGATTAGTGAATACTAATGCGTGTCCATTAATCAGGTGTGATGACACAAAAGTAACAAAAGCAAGATTTTTAGGTTTTTATATGCCAAATTGTGAAGAATGGAATATATGTGATTTAAGTTGTAGTGCATTTAATATAGTAACAGTACCTTTATATGATTCGTTAGGGATTGAATCGAGTAAATTTATTTTGGATCAGACATTAATGCAAACAATTATTTGTAATAAATCATGTGCTTTGAATCTCTTTAAATCTCTAGATACATGTGAAAAAATTCATTTAAAAAAATTAATTTTAGTAGAAATTGAAACTGATGTAGAAATTAAAAAGTCTTGTGAAAAATATCAGATAGAAATTATTTTATGGAAAGATTTGATAATAGCTGGGAAAAAAAAAATACAAGAACCCAAACCAGGTAATTTAAAAGATATTGCATGTATATGTTATACATCTGGGACTACAGGATATCCAAAAGGAGTTATAATGACAAACGGAAATTTTATAGCTCAGTTAGCTTCATCAGTAATAGGACCATCAAGATTACCCATCTTGGATATAAACGAAAATGATACGCACATTTCTTACCTACCGTTAGCGCATATATATGAAAGAATGATGATGCTTGTTTTTTGTTCACAGGGAGTAAGAACAGGTTATTATTCAGGAAATATACAAATATTAGTAGAAGATATTCAAGAGTTAAAACCAACATTATTTATTAGTGTACCAAGATTATATAATAGAATACATGAACGAATTTTTAATTCGTTAAAAAAAAAATCTTCAGTAGTTCAATCTTTATTTAATAAAGGTTTAGAACAAAAAATAAAAAAATTAGATAACAATGGTATCCCTTTCCATTTTTTTTGGGATAAATTAATTTTCAATAAAGCTAAAAAAATCTTAGGAGGAAATATTAGGGCTATGTTAAATGGATCTGCTCCTATAAGTCCAGATGTAGTAAAAAAACTGAAATCAGTTTTCTGTGCACCCTTATTTGAAGGATATGGTATGACCGAAACACTTGGCCCAGCATTTATTTCTCATAGTACAGATATAAATATAGGTCATATAGGAGGGCCTGTTCCATGTGTTGAATATAGAGTTGTATCTGTTCCAGAAATGAATTATTTAGTTACTGATAATCCACCTAGAGGTGAATTACACTTAAGAGGTCCTGCCATAGCAAATTTGGGATATTTCAAATTAGAAAAAGAAACAAATGAATTTATTGATAAGGATGGGTGGATAAGTACAGGAGACATTGTATCATTTAGTGTAAATGGATCAATTACAATCATTGACAGAAAAAAAAATATATTTAAATTGTCTCAAGGGGAATATATTGCAGTGGAAAAAATAGAATCTGTATATAAACAGTCTTTATTTATTAGCCAAATATTCGTTTTCGGATACTCGTACGAATCAGTTCTTGTATGCATTATTTGTCCATCTATGGATACAATAGAAATATGGAAAAATGAGAAAAAAATCACAAAAACGGATGAAGAGATTATGCAATTACCTGAATATAAGAAAGATGTTATTGATGATTTAATTAAAATGGGAAAGAAGGATGGACTGAAGGGATATGAACAAATTAAAGATGCTTATTTCACCACGGAACCCTTCACCATAGAAAACGATTTGCTTACACCTACTGGTAAAATTAAAAGGCACGCCGTTCAGAAGAAGTATAAGGAGCAAATTGACAAAATGTACAAGGACATGAAAAAGGCTTAGGGTGATTCTACATATTTATGCCTTTTTCTTTTTTTCTCTTTTTCTCTTTATGGTTGTTTGACATGTGCAGAAAGGAAGGGAACGAATGTGCCACCAGTGAATTTTGTAAGAATTATTATACGAGAAAAATCATTTATCGAATTTTGACAGTTCTAAAGAAATCATACACATGGGCTATACAAAATAAACTCATTTAAGACAAAGAAAACTACCTGACGAGAAGATGAAATTTACAACTGCATAAACTACCACACCAGAAGGGCGCATGGTCTGTTGTATAATTTATTTGTATTGTGAAGAGAGACACATTGTGTGCTTGTGTGCCGCGCGTGTCTCCTTGGAATGGAGCTGTAAATATACACCCACGTTTATATATATATGCATTAGCATAATATTTATTTATCCCCTTGAGTACCGTTGTACTTGGTTTTTTATTGTATTTTTTTTTTTTTTTTTTTTAAACAATGTTTTGTATGTTACACATCTGTTTGCGATGCCAACCCTTGCCCATATAAAGATGGCTCATTATAAGTTATATTCATTCCTTGACAAAAGCGTTTTTTAAGAAGGGGATGATATAATACATATATATATATATATATATACATACAAGTGTTTATATATATATTCAGATGTTTTTCCATATGGGAAGAATACAAACACGGATCTTCACTCGGACCAGAATGATGAATTTTGTACCTCGTGGATGTAATAGTAGAGTTATGTTTAGACAGATATGTGTACATATATATATCTATATATAAATATGTCTATGAATTTTTTTTTTTTTTTTTCATTTTAATAATTTTAAAAGCCATTTTTAATCATTTTTAAAAAATTTCATATCGTATTTAAAATCATTGCCCATAAAAAGGAGTTTTGAGTTGTAAGCAAATGTGTATAAGTTAACGTGAATACATGAACTGAACAAATATTAAGGGTGCAAAAAAAAAAAAAAAAAAAATAGAATAAGAAAATTCTACATTGTAGTTTGTTATGCCTCTAGTCGATACTCGAGAAATTGAGAAAATTTACTGTCAATGGGAAAAGCAGGGGGAGGTGGAAGTGCATGTTGAGGAAGGAGTGGAAGAAAAAGGAGAAACGTGAGCACAATATTGAGAAAATGAGAAAAGCTCAAATGAAATTTGATCAAATACAAGAATCGAGTTATGTTTCATTGTTCTGTTTTGCAGTGCGATGTGATATTAAATCTTAACTTTAACTAGTGTATATTTTGTTTTGTTTTTAAACATTTCCAGTATTTATGCAAATGCATACATGGACTTGTATTTGCCCATCATAGTACATACACTTGTTGTAAGTCGTTAATTATATTCTTCCATATATTCTTGATATATTCTTTGATATATTCTTTGATATATTCTTTGATATATTCTTTGATATATTCTTTGATATATTCTTTGATATATTCTTTGATATATTCTTTGATGAATTTTTCGATGTGTTTTTCAAGTTTTTCTCTCCAAAAAAGATTTGCAATATGCGCTTGGGAAAAAACTATGCTCTTGTTCCCCATGAGAGTTTTTCTTTTTAAAAATATTGAAAAGCAAAGAATAAAAAAAAAAAAAAAAAATGAGCAACCGTTGCAAAGAGAATGAATTTTATTTATTTATTTATTTATTTTTTTTTTTTTTTTTTTTTTTTACAAAAAGTAGTGAGTTAAAAAAAAAGTAGTAAAATGTGCATTGCAAACATTTGCATATATTCAAGGTAGTTATAATAGACCTGTAGTTTATTATGGGGAACTGCTTTTTTTTTTTTTCTTTATTTTTTTTTTTTGTTCTTATTTTTTATTTGTTTAATGCTATAGGATTATGTTAATACTTTTTCAACCAACATAACATATTTTTTTCATTGTGTTACCTTTTTAGACTTTTTTTTTTTTTATTTTATTTTTGAATGGAAAAATGCTATAGGATTATGTTAACACTTTTTCACGCAAAAAAAAAATTATGATTAAACGGGTTAAATTTTTAAATTTTTTTTTTTTTTTTTTTTTTTTTTTGAAAAGTAGTACAAAAAGAATATTTTATTTCATGTAAAAATAATGTGTGTAACAATTTTGAATTGCGAGAGTGAAGGAAAATAACTGGGGGGTGGTGGTGGAGAAAAAATAAATATCCAAAAGGAACAACAAAAAAAAAAAAAAAAAAAAAAAAAAAGTTACAATAATGATAATAATCATGTGAAAAAATAAAACATAATAAAATATTCCTCTTATATGGAAATAAACACCTGACTAGCTAACTACGTCCAGTCGTCTTACTGACAAGTACCCCTTTCCCGAACAGTTGTCATTTATCACTCCTCATTAATTATTTGAATAAACAAATATTCATCATCTTAACATGAAAGGCACTGAATCCAACAGGAAGACATCCTTAGAAAGAAGAACAAATGTTCACAATAGAACCAAAATTTTTGAAAATAGAGATGGAAAATCTGGGCGTAAGAAACGGAAAAAGAAAAGGAATGAATCCAATGAGGAAGACGAATTGGATGATGTGAAGAGAACGAACGAGATGAAAAGGAAAAAAAAAAACAGCGGAGTGCAGAAAAATGAATATATGCATACAAGGAATAGTATCAGCAACTTTGACAAATCCAGCATCATACCTTTATCAGATATCAGTAATATTGAAAAGCAAAGCGTCTCACCAAGTGATGCTGGTGATGATGGAGATGATAATGGCGATGATGATAATTATAATAATTATGATGACGATGGTGATGACAATGATGATGATGACGATGGTTATAATAATTATGATGACGATGGTGATGACAATGATGAATATGGAAATGGTGATGACAAGGGGGAAATGAATCGAACACATGACAACAATTCTAACATTAATAACAGAAAAAAAAGGAAAATCATTTTTTCTAAAATGTCAAAATGGAATGAAAAGAACATTGGAGCTGACCATATGGTTAACGAAAATGCACTAATGACCCCAAGTGTCGAAGATGAATTTTATTCATTTGACTTTCACAGCAATAATGTGTTAAAAGGGGCAGGCGTGAAAGTGGCTAGTAGGGGCGGGATTCAAAATATGAAGGATGGACATGATGAAAAGGAGATAGCAGAAGCAGAGGCAGAAGCAGAAGCAGAGGCAGAGGCAGAGGCAGAGGCAGAAGCAGAGGCAGAGGCAGAGGCAGAAGCAGAGGCAGAAGCAGAGGCAGAAGCAGAAGCAGAGGCAGAGGCAGAAACAGAGGCAGAAGAAGAGGCAGAAGCAGAAGCAGAAGCAGAAGCAGAAACGGATGGAGGCGAAGAGTTGGGCGGTTTGAACACAATGAAGGATAGTGACATGAACACACTGATGGATAGCGATCTGGTAAGCTTCTATGGAAGCACGGGAAAGATTATAAAATTACGAATTCGTAATTTTTTAAACCATGAAAATTTGGAATTGTCATTTAATTCGAATAAAAACATAATAATAGGAAAAAACGGGAAGGGAAAAAGTGCCATAGCCCAAGCGGTTGCAGTGGCTTTAGGAAGCCAAGGAAAACACGCGGGGAGAGATATAAGTCTTTCAAATTATATAAAGGATTTTGATAAGAATAAGAAGAATTTGGTTTGTTATATCGAAATATTTTTATCCAATTCTGGAAAAAATTCATATAAGAGAGAGTTATACGGTGATATTATTGTAATAAAGAGAGTATTAACCTCTCACACTAGTAAATTTTTCCTCTATGGAATAAAACATAACAGCACTGATGGTACTTGCACATATGTTCATCCAGTTGAAGAAGAAGGCAGAGAAGCAAGTGTAACACCTGGAAACAAATACCAATCTGAGTATAGTAATCGAAAGGCTTTTTTAATAAAAAGAGAGAATTCAAATAAATGTGCTAAGAAAAAGTCATATATTGACAATTATTTGAATTTTATAAAATTAAATATTAGAAGCCCATGTGTTTATTTAGATCAAGAAAAGGGGAAACAATTTTTTAGTAATATAAATGAAAAGGCATTACATAAATTTTTTATGAATTCTGTAGGTCTAGATATTGTAGAAGCGGAAATTGATAAAGAAAATGAACTACTGCAGAATTGTGTTTTGCAAATAAAACAAAAAGAATTACTATTAGCACCACAAGTAGAAGAGATGAAAAGGCTTAAGAAACGAAACGAAATGTTAAAAGACGAATTTGATAAATTAAGAAATTTTGATGATAACTACAAAATGGTTATATTTTTTAGTCTGTTAAAAAATACGATTATTTTGTTCAACGAATATTTAAAATCAGAAAATTTGAAAAATGAACAAGTGATTATTAGCATACAAAAGAAGATGAAAAGAATCATAAACGAAATTGAAGATCTCAAACTATATCTCAAGCAAGTAATTGAAAGAGATACACATGTGTACCTATTTTTGAAAAAAAATATTGAGAAAATTGAAAAATATAAGGATATGATTTGCCAGTTAAATGAACTAAAGCAAGATTATATCAATCGTAAAAATGAAGTTACTAACTATTTGAGTTCATTTGAAAAAGTGAAAGAAAACAAAAATTTGTTACAAGAATATTTGCATAAATACGAGTCAGAAATGGAAAAAATAAATGAATGTATGAAAGAAGAAAAAGAACGACAAGTACAATTACAAACAGAAATTAATAAAAGAGAAAATCATATCTATGAGATGGAATATATAATAAACAAAAATAATAACACTTTGGAAGAGATAAACAAAAAAATCAATGCTATAAAAATACACTCCAACAAAATTCAAAAAATAAAAAATACAAAAATTAAGAGAAAAATATATACATATGGATATGATATTTATTCCTTTAGAAATAATATTATGAAAAATTATCGAATTATTAATTCTTCTGATGAACCTGGCTTTTCATTCTCGTCCTCCATTCTCGATCCAGGTTCATTAGACACAAATGGAAAAAACAGTGTTCTTATATCGAAAGAAAGGGTTGAAAGTATTCCATTAAAAGAGAAAAATCCAGATTTCGTATTTAAGTATGAACCCATAGGTCCTGTAGGTGAATACATAAAACCAAAAGAGAATACCATAAATGAAAAAATATTATCTATCATTGAAAAGCATTTAGGAGATATATTTTTTGCATGGCTTGTCAGTTGTTATGAAGACAAAAATAAATTAAGTAGCATGGAAATAGAAAATAAAAATAGGATTAATATAATTGTAACGAACGCATTTCAACATATAAACAGAAAAACATTGTTACAAAATATTCATTCCATTATGAACAAAATTAATGGCAACACGATTTATTCATTTTTAAATATTGATCTATTACCAACATCTCTCCTATTTTACCTATATGACAATTTTAAAATTGTTCAAACATTGGTATGTAACAATTCGACAGAATTACATGAACTTTTAAGAAAAAATGATAAAAAAATTATTAAATCTATTTATGTCGTAGAAGAATTTGTTGTAGTGAAGGTACTTCCAAATGGTGGTTTGCATTATCAGCCATTCAAAGAAGATTATTATGAAAAGCCTACTTTTCTAAACATCAATAATGAGGAAGGGTCCTTATATAAATCAAATGGAAATGAACAACCAGATGCCAATATGGTAAAAAATATGGATTCAAGTAACCCTAGCGCTTCGACATCTCTATTCATTTCTCACGAACCAAATAAGGAGGACTCTGAAAATGTAGAATTCAAAAATAATGAAGACCATTTAAAGGAATTAGAAAAAAGAAAAACTGAAAAAAATGAAGAAATTATTATGATGTCAAAAAAGTTATTGACTTATAGAAATATTTTAGAGAGTCTTAATGAATCCTTAAAGAAATGCCAATATACACAGGATGAGTTGAAATATAAGCATAAAAACATTGAAGAATTGATACAGAATCATGATAATATTTTTTCAGAACAACTTGACTTAGAAATTAGAGAAAAAAACAAAGACATCATTGAAATGAATGAATATGTAGACGAAATTGATCAATATATGCATACATTGAATGAAAAAAAAAAAAGAACCCTTGATACTTGTTCAATTCATAAATGGTTAATATCAACACATGGGCAATATTTAAAAAGGAAAAAGGAAAAATTTGCTCTCTTGATCGAACAATATAACAATTTATGTGAAGTTTTACTTAAACTTGAAAAAGACAAATTGAAAAATGATGAAATTGCTTTTAAAAATAAGAAAAACTTTCTAGTAGCCATAAACAAATTACACAGTGTTTATTTTGAATACCTCACCAATGGGTTCTCTCTTTTGCATGTACTTTTAGAGAACCCTTTTTTAGTGTTAAGAGGGAGATCATCCAATGTGTTAATAACAAATGTTATCATAGAACGCTGTGTGGAAAATCAGACTGAAAATAAATCTTCACATGGGTCGTCATATGATGAAAATGATAATGTACAGAATCGAATGGAGAATGATCAGATTGAGAAGACCCAGAGTAAGGAGAGTGAATTTTTGCATCAAAAAAAAAATGATAAATCAGGTGAAGAAACTACAATACGAGTTACCTTCACAGTGGAGAACCCAAGTAATAATATAATGGGCGTAGAAGAAATTTGCATCCAAGTTCCATTTTCAAGTTTGAGTTATTTTAACAAGTTTTTTGTTCTTTCGAAGAAGGATGAAAATGTTGTGGACAGTGATGAGGAATGTAGCTATAAATTAGCAGTAAATTCTTGTAATAAGAAAAAGGAAAGCGAAATAAAGGTTCTAAGGAATTTAGAAAAACACATAAAAAGTATTTTGAATCTCGGCACGAATATAAGCAGTGGATCGTTAAGTGATGGAAAAGTCGATAGACTTTTCTGCAATGAAGGTGCCAATAATGAGGATGCCAATAATGAGGATGCCAATAATGAGGATGCCAATAATGTGGATGCCAATAATGAGGTTGATAAGGGAATTGGTGCTCGCGTTGTTGAAATGAATGAGCAAAAAATTGAGACGATAGATGAGAACTGTTCAGATATTTTATGGAAAAAAAGATGTGAAAAAAAGAAAGAAATCATAGAAATTCTTAAAATAAGCGGTTTTATCGATAAAGACAATACAGATAATTCTATAAAAGCCTATTTTTATAATTTAATCGAACAATATGCAAATGAAGAAAAGAGCTACAATGCACAAATGAAACAAATAATGGACTTAAAAAATAACTACGATATGCATTTAGCTAATATAAAGCTACGAAAATCGAAGTTTTTTCATGTTTTAAAAAAAACAAAAGAGAAAATTACGGTTCATTTTAAAAATATGTTAAAAAATATGAATAATTACAAAGGGAAAATAGAATTTGATGATGTAAACAGAAATTTAAAAGTTATGGTTTCAGTTAATCAAGATCTTTCCAATAATATTTTTATGGAAATTAATTCCTTGTCTGGAGGTGAAAGGTCAACAATTCAGATGGCCCTTCTAGCTTCGTTATCCCTCACAGAAACTTCCTCATTCCACATCTTCGATGAGCTTGATGTGTACATGGACGAGCTTACTCGAGTGAAGAAGTAAAAAAGAAGGGAGAAAAGGAGAAAAATGAAAAAAGATGCGAGAAATGAAAAAAATGCGAGAAATGAAAAAAATGAGAAAAATGAAAAAAATGAAGAAAATGAAAAAAATGAGAAAACGAAACCATACGCACAAAAGGAGAGAAAATAGAAAATAGTTTCGAAACATACTCAACGAATCACTCATAGGAGATGAATAACAATACATAAAACGAGACTCCCCCGGAGTTAATCTGTGGTCTTAATTATGTGTGTTCCTCATTTCGCATGTTCATAGTTTATATATTTCCACATGTGTAAATTGCAAACACAAATGTTATTTTATTTACTACCTTCCCTCAGTATGCAAAGATTTTGTGAATTTATTGAACAGAACAATAGCAAGCAATACTTCTTTATAACTCCACATATCGAAATAACGGAACTTTTTTTAGGTAAGCGATATGAATTTTCCATATTTATATGCAACAACACACACGTCTAAATACAGTTGAGAAAAAGGGCTAGTAACTTGCCTTTTTTGTCAATATGCTGTAGTAACTGCCTCTATTAGACCCGTCTAAATTTAGTGGCAAGTATTTCATTTGCATGAGGAATTACGTGCAAATGAGTGGAGACTTGCAAGAGTGTGAAAGTGTGAAAGTGTGAAAGTGTGAAAGTGTGAAAGTGTGAAAGTGTGAAAATGTGAAAGTGTGAAAGTGTGAAAGTGTGAAAATGTGAAAGTGTGAAAGTGTGAAAATGTGAAAGTGTGAAAGTGTGAAAGTGTGAAAATGTGAAAATCTGTTTTACCCCCTTCGTAGGAGACGCTAAGGAAAAAAAGGCCAAAATATTAAATCTGTCCTAAACATTTGAATTAATGTTTTTTTGTTTTTTTGCAAAACAAATTCTTAAATCGCATACTCTCACACATGAGAACATGAATACAAGTTGTGTGTTATCCACTCCTTTCCAATCGCTTATTTCATTTTTTCGTGTTTGTATATGCAACTATACATAATTAGTTATAAACACTGTTTTTAAATAATTCCTAAACTTTATGCTTTTAAAAAAAAAAGAGCAATATATATATAACTCGTCATATAGGGACGAAAAAAAAATATATAATTTTTTTTAAATTGATTTCACGGTTGAATATATATAGATCTTTCTTAATCGAAACAAAAGTGTTGTATTGATTGTTTAAGTAAGGTTTACACTGGTCATTCAAAGGTTAGGACAAAACGGACACATTTCCAAGTAGAGAAAGACACAGGAATGAAACATGAACTTGTAGATAACGGCAATGATAAAACATTCTCTGTTAATAATGATAGTTTGATGAAACATTAAATGAGAAAATACAACAAACTGTTAAAAAAAAAATTAAACTGATATATGTGAGAAAGACTATATATATATATATATATACACAACAGGATTGGTACACTATATAAAATGGTTTTGCAATTGAATCATCATTCATTAAGTACACTTTGGATTTTAAAATTAACACATACTAAAGTGGATGGAAATTCAAAAAAAAAAAAAAAAAAAAAAAAGGCAAACCACTTTTGCACTAATGGAAAATAATTTTATAAACATAATTTGTTACACGAAATTTACACATTTTTGATATTAAAAGTCTTAAAACAAATTAAAGAAAATTTTTTTTGTATAGCCAGTGAAGGGACCATATCATACTTTAAAAGATTTTACGAATAATTTTGAAAGAACACAAAGGTAGAAAAAGGAAAAAAAAAAAAAAAAAAAAAGAACAGAAAAATGGAAAAAAAGAACAATATATAATGAAAAAAAAAAAATAAAATAAAATAAAACCAAACATTATTCCAGATCCAGGTTTTCAACTTGGTTAATGATGCTAACGAAACTAAAATTTCGACGTGGTTATACATGCATTAATGTTATGGTCTGCATGCTTTATTTTATTTTATTATTTTATTATTTTATTGTTTTATTGTTTCATTGCTTTATTATTTTATTGTTTTATTGTTTTATCATTTTATTATTTTTTTTCATGTCCCTACTGGACATCTCTCCTGTCTTCAATAGGAATACGAAGCACGTAATCTATGAATCATAAATTTCTTTGAATACTTCTTATTCCTTATCACAGAAAGTAACTATTTTTATATACATTATCACTTAAGCCATAAATTTCATTATTATAAGATTGAAGAATATTATTTTCCTGACTATTATCATAATCATATTCATAATAGTTATTTATATTCGACTTAAAATTATTCAATTCGATGTTTTCATTATTAGGTGCGTGAATATTTTGATGTATATTATTTATATACTTCGAAATTTGATCTTGATTTTGTTGCAGAAATCTTTGTGTTTCGTTATTTAAGAGCTCATAATTTTGCATTCTTTCATTTTGACTATTTTTTATGCCATTTAATGTGTGTGAATTTTTTAACAAGTCGATTGTTTTGCGCTGACATTGCGACACTTGTGAATTCCTTTTCTTTGATGTTACAACGGGTATATTTTGTTGGCCTTCATTTTTTTCCGGTGCAAAGTGAGTTTTCTTGTTTGAAGTATAATCTTCTATGTTTTGTAGAAATAGAGAGTTGTTATTGCTACTATTGATGTGATTGCCGTTCATGTGATTGCTGTTCATGTGATTGCCGTTCATGTAATTGCCGTTCATGTGATTGCCGTTCATGTGATTGCCGTTCATGTGATTGCCGTTCATGTGATTGCCGTTCATGTGATTGCCGTTCATGTGATTGCCGTTCATGTGATTGTTGTCCATTTGATTGCTGTCCATGTAACTGCTTTCCATGTGATTACTGCCCATGTAACTGCTTTCCATGTGATTACTACCCATGTGATTACTGCTCATGTCATTACTTCCCATATGATTGGCGTTTACATGTGTAGAACCTACCTGGTTGCTGTTCATACTTTTGCTGGCCATGTCGACATAGTTGTCATACATGCTTAAAGTGCTATCCATGTATTCATTATCACTTATGCTTTTATCATTACTGACCTGCGAATTGTAATTATGTATACTATTAAGGGCCATCATATTAAAAATATTTTCTTTGTAATCATCAGTACAAGCATGAAATTGGGTGTAATAATCATCCACTTGATTAAACAAAGAAGCATTTTTCTGATCGTCATTATTTACACAGTGATCACAACTATTGTTCATTAAACTCATTTTATCCTCATAATTATTTTCACAATTATAATTTTCCGCGTTATAATAATTTTCATTCAAAACTGGGAAATTTTTACTGTGATTTTTCTCCTTTGCATTAATATATGTAGAAAAAAATAAAACAAGTTTTAACTTTGCAATTAAGCCTAACGCTGCTAAAACATACAATCTTTTAAATTTATCTTTTTCCTTTTCTGACATATTTTCGTAATTTTGTAAATTTATTCGTAAGAAGGTTAACTGGGCTGAAATAGGGTTAATTAATCCTTCTATAAATTTTATATCTTTTAAGTATATTATAATGTTTTCGCTATTGTTTTGATAGTTCAATGCTTCTGATTCCCAGTCTTTTACAAAATTCCCGTCTACTTGGGGTATTAACGATTCTTTTAGCTTTAACAAAATTTGAATCCTTTCTTTAAAATTTATTAAAGCCATTTTTGTTTTTTGATATGTGTGCGATCAGATGAAGGTATCTGTTTAATCAACTTTTTGTTTTTGCAATTTTGTTTATCCCGTCTTTTGGTACGGATTTTACAATTTCCCTTTACTACTTTTCTTGCTATTGCGTTTCCCTTTTTTTTTTTTTTTTTTTTTTTTTTATTATCACCTTGTTCTTTTTTTATTCTTACTTTGGTGGCAAGTTAGACAAAAATACTTTACGAAAAATATTTATTCACAAGCCAAAGTAATGGACATGGCAACTCACAAATCCATATGTATTTAAACATGCATACATGCGTACGAGTGAGTGAGGAAGGGAGCATGTATAGTATTGGGAAGGAGAATTAAATTTATTGTTCTATATACAATGTATGTGCATGAATATGTAGATATGTATATACAAGGGTACGTAAATATGTATACGTGTATATATATATATATATATATATATATATATATATATATATATAAATATATATGTATATACGAACTTTTTTTTATCTCTCTTTTTTCCCTTTAAACATAATTTAAAAAAAAAAAAAAAAAAAGAAAAAGAAAGGACAGTGTACACGTGAACAGGAAAACTTGAGTCTACCATAAAACAAATGACACAAATGATCACAAAAAAGTTTTAAAAATGCTTATTTTAAAGGCATTAACAAAAAAAAAAAAACTTTCATTAAAAATTTTGACATATCGACTGGGTTAAGTACAACTGTAAGGTTAAATATATTTACAGGGTAATTAACATAAGGAAAAATATGAAATTTTGTTATCATACGAAAATGGTACAAAACAAGGAGGGAGCTTAGAATGTTCAGGTGAACAAATGGTTAAATGAATATGCAAATATGATAGACGAACAAAAAAGGTGAGTGAGAAGGAGTATAGGTAAATGGAAATAAAATATGTAAAGTAAAATGGAAAAAGAAAAAAAATAAATAAATGGAACACAATCACGTAATATGGTAAAATGGGAAAATAACAAGCAAATACAATGTCGAACTAGATTCTCAGTAGGGCTTAAAATACTATCAAAATAAATCGAAAAAACAGTGTAATAAAAACTGGACGTAAAAAAAAAAAAAAAAAAAAAAAAAAATTATAATTTTCTAAAAATTATGAGATGGTCATATACACATAAAAAAGAGGAAAAAATAAAAGTAAAAAAACAAAATAACATCTTTAATATTGTAAAAACTTGTAAAAGGTGTACAAAAAAAATAAAATAAAAATAAAACGTTTAAGCATTTACATATTTAACCATTTGATCACTTAACCTTTTGAACAGTTAATCTTCCCACATTTTAGCAGTTCTTTACCCTTGTGCTCTACACCTTTTTACACACTGTTAAAAATCCCTTAAAAGATTCCTAAAGAGAACTGGATAAAAAAATTCAAAATTCATATATCAAGGTTTTTTTCCCATTTTTTTTTTTTCTGATTCCTTGAAGTTAATTTTGCTTACACATTGAAGGGGCCATTTATGAGTAAAAGCACAGAAATAGGTATACAAGTATGTACAAATGTATGTAATATATAAATATATATATCTACACAGAACTCCACACCTGTTATGTGTGTAGGAAAATGTAGAGAAATTTTCCAAATCCTTTTATTTTTTTTAACTTCCATGTGTAATCTGTGAAGAGCTAATTTATTTTTTCATTCGCGCTTTACATTAAACGTCACCTTCGAAAACGTTTATTTTTTTTTTTTAAATGGGGTATTATCATTAAATTGTTTTTTCTTTTCTCTTTTGTACGTTTACATTAGCAGAACGGAAATTTCGCCATGAATAAGGTTTGTAGCCGTGAAAAGTACATTCTATTTATTTTATCATTTTTCTTATTTATTTTGCAGATTTATTTTATGTATTTATTTTTTTTTTTTTTTCTATTTTTTTTTTTTTTTTTTTTTTTTTTTTTTTTTTGTTGTTGTTTCCTATCTTAAACTGTTCAGCAAAATATGTTGTTTGTCATTTTCCATTTTTCACCCAATTTACCATTATATTATTCTACTTCTACACTCTGAATCACGTGGGAGTTTTCAACTTATTTACTTAACCCCTTTGCAGTTAGATAAAATATGACCTATGATTTTATATGAGAAATAATTAGTATTTGCAAGAGGTATAACATAAACGAAAATTAAAAGAAGCAACAATGGTTTCAATGCTTAAAATGAAAAATATTATTTAGGGAGGCGATTATTTAATTGTTTATTTTTTTCATGTTATTTTATTTTATTTTTTTTTTTTTTTCATTCCGTTCCCTCGCCCAATTTCAGCAACTTGAGAGAACCCCACATTAGCTATCTTAACAGAAATTTAGCTTCAATTCCATTTTGTTTTTCCATATTTATATTTTATAATGACCAAGCTATTTATTTAATTTTGGTCATATTGATTTCCCCAAGCAAGTTGGCGAATCTTACGTTCTTGCTAACGAAATTTAGTTAAAATGGGACACCCCTGGGTTACAGAATTGTCACATTTGCACACATGCAAATGTACGCACGATGATAATCGCATTACACACACAAGTATACGCGCGCACATGTAGACACAAACACAAGTACACAAACACAAAGTTATACACACACACAAGTTTACACACACTTTTTGCCATTCCCGTGTAGACCACGTAAAATTTGTTAGATATTCGAATATATAATCTCATTTATGATGAGGTGAAAGTAATCGTGCTTGTTGTGTTGTGCAAAATACGGAATAAAATTAGCAAACACATTGTATCCTTATCCCCGTGGGTATTAATGAATATAAGGGCTCACATTTTTTTAAAGGTTATGCTAACACGTGATAATACCAGTAGCAAAGATATGTATAGTTAAATATATATAACACATAAAGGGTTGTTAAAGTGGTAATCACACCTCTATCGTTTTTACAAAAAATGGCACATCATCATTGTTAAAAAAGGAGAAAACAAGAATCTGTGTGAAAGTAAAAAGAGCAGTTACTATATCACCGTCGTAATAACATGAACAACAATAAAAAAAAAATAATAATAATAAAAAAAAAGAGGAATATACGTAGTAAACATATCTAATTTTTTTTTTTTTTTTTTTTAAATGGTGTAATTTTCATATTATGAACAATTTGTCATGGTGATAATAACGTTTGATATGATCTGCATTTCAAGACATTTCGTTCAAATCCTTTTTGAGGCTAGTAAAAAATATATTTCTCCTTTGTGCTTTTGTTTTTACTCGAGTAAGAACAAATTTTCACATTTAAATTGATCATTTTTTTTTTTTTTCTATACGCTGTCATAATGCTTCGCGTTCCGGACAAATGGTAGTAGGCATTGGATTAGCTTTTACACACAGTATCACCTACAGAACATATGTATGTATAGCATATACTTCTCTGAATTGTGCATATACTTTATCATTTTCAGGAGAAACACATTCATGTACTACGACACGTGATGTTCATTTCAGCATGTACGCATAAAAAATGATATATATATATATGGTATATTTTTCATTTAAAAATTTTTGTTTATAAGCAGTTATGTACTTTTATTTTGTTCTTGATGGGTAACACAAATTGCAGCCTTTCAAATTTCTTATGAAAGTATGTAGTGATACAATTTTTCTTTTTTCTTTTTTTTTTTTTTACCTTTCCATTTAAAAAATAAAAACTGAGCAATTTTTTTTCGAGAAAAAGTCCCCTATGTTTTCTCGAACCATTTTAATGGCAAAATGTAAAAAAATAAAAGAAAAGAAAGAAAAAAAAATAAAAGAAAAAAAAAAAAAAAAAAAAAAAAAAAAAAAAAAAAAAAAAAAAAAAAAAAAAAAAGGGAGAAAAAGAGGTGACCCTTTTAAAAAAAAAAAATAGAAAAAAATTTTTTTTTTTTTTTTTTTTTTTTACTCTATTTCTAATTCGAATCACATGTACACGTTAGCCTTATCTTATGCATTTTCACAAAGTAAGAAGGAAAAATGAGCATTAAGAAGAGAAATATAAGGAATAGCTCAATGTTCCATTATTGTGTGGAAAAAAAAAATTCAACCCTTTCAAATTTTTCTATTAAAGTTATTAAGTGTACAATTTTTTTTTTTTTTTTTTTTTTTTTTTACCTTTCAATTTAAAAAAAAAAAACTGAAAAATTTTTTTTCAAAAAAAAATCCCCTATTTTTTCTAGAACCAATTTTAATGGAAAAATTAAAAAAAAAAAAAAAAAAAAAAAAAAAAAAAAAAAAAAAAAAAAAAAAAAAAAAAAAAAAAAAAAAAGAAAAAAAAAAAAGAAAAAAAAAGCGTGGTATGATATGGCGTGGTGTTGTATGGTATGAAGGAATTCTTTTATAAGATCAATGAAGAAGAAATAGAACCACGTAGAGGGGTTAGTGGAACTTCATATTTTAAAAGGAAGAAAACTTACACACGAAATTGTGTATAGAAGAGCGCTGTGTGATATTTTACAGCACCCTTGGTGCGTGTTGTGATATTTTCACTGTACAAAAAAATTGTAAAATCTGAAAGTTCAAACACATATATACAACACAAAATATGATGCACAGTAATAAGAGATACATCTCAAACACTTATTTGGAAGAATTTGTGGAGTCAGATAACGATGGGCAATTAATAAAAAAAAAAATTAACGAGTATACTTTTAAATTAAATAATGAGATGGAATACTATACAAGCCAATCTGTTTACTGTGGAATAGGAGGAATTTTATATATGGACATTATTCTATATGAAAGTAATGATGACTATACATTTTTACAATTTGGAAATAATATTATAAAGAAAATAAAGACGTATAAAGGGAAGAATGCGATTTCTTTTTTGGAGGGCCCAACAGGATTGTACAGTTTGTCTAGCGTTTTACATTACTATTTAGAAAATGCATCAAGTGTAGAAAAATATATAGAATTATTGGTTAATTATTTAAAGGAGAATAAGGAGGAATTAACATCTATTAATGGAGAATGTGAATTGTTATATGGAAAATGTGGTTGTATATATTCCTTTCTATTTTGTAGAAATATATGGATAAAATCAGAATACAAATACATGATTTTGAAAAATTTATATATCATGATGACATCCATATTTGAATATGGCTTGTTAAAAAGTACGACAATGTGGAACATAACTTCGCTCTCGTTATATTTTGAATGGCATGAACAAATATACCTAGGTGCTGCACATGGATACGCAGGAATATTTTTAGTTTTATATAAATTGATATTATTTTTCCATCACAATTTGGATGATTTTTGTGAAGCTTTACAAGGATTTGATGACAGCAGTGACTCAAATGTGAATGATACAAAACATTTAAAATGTAGAAGTGATATAGTGAAGAAATTAAATGAATATTTATATTTAATATATCAAGTAACAGATGAAATAATGAATTTATATGTTACAGAAGATTTTAATGTATATTCTTCTATAAAAAAAAATCCAGCACATAAAAAAAATGATGTATTAGTTCAGTGGTGTCATGGAAATGTAGGTTTTATCATTTTAATAATTGAATTATTAAAGTGTCCATTTGCACCAAGCCATTTTCTTAACAAATATAATAAAAATTTTATTGAAAAAATGGGACTATTGATATGGGATCGAGGATTATTATATAAAGGGCTAGGATTATGTCATGGAATACCAGGAAATGGACTTGTATTTTTGTACCTATATAATTACACGAGCAATAGGGAATGGTATATTAAAGCATTAAAATATGCTCATTTTTGTATTAAATATTTTGACAAGTTTTACAATGTCCCAGATAGACCTAATTCCTTATTTGAAGGATATGGAGGTTTGGTTGTCTTCCTCAATTTCGTTTTAAGACCAGACTTGGCTTATTTTCCCGCTTACGATATTCCTGCGGATTTGACCCCAATTGGTGAGGCACAAAAGAGAGAATATGCAGCAGCAGGGATGGGAGAGGAGGTCGCATGAGGTTTTCCTCCCCTACTTGAGTACGGATGTGTGCACACTCATACGTGTGTGTATGTATACCTGTCCATATTTACGCGTGTCCATATTTATACCTGTCCATATTTATACTTGTTCATATTTGTGCCTGTCCATATTTATACCTGTCCATATCTGTGCTTGTCCATATTTATACTTGTTCATATTTGTGCCTGTCCATATCTGTGCGCACACGTGACCTCATAACCGGGACAACATCCAAACGCGTAACAAATTAAACACTTCACTTGTCTAAGAATGAGATCGGATGGCTAGCCGAATTGGGAAACGTAATTTTTATGCACATTATTATCATTGTCACTATTGACACATTGGAAATGGGAAAAAGCTAAAAGGAAGAAGTCAAAAAAAAAAAGAGGACACAAGAAAGTGCCACATTTTATGATGCATTCACGCCCATATCTTTTGAACAGCTAAGGGAAAAATTTCCTGGATGTTATATTTAATTCTTTCTTTACTATAAGACATCTCACATTCCCCTAAATATAGCAACAATGATTTTCCGTTTTTTTTTTTTTTTTAATTTTGTGTGCACGCATTCAGATTACATACCTGAATGGGTACATAATTTTGTATCTTTTAGTTATGTGTGGCATGTTTATTTTGGCTTAGCTTTCTTTTCCTTTTTCAGTTTAACCCTGTAAAAAATTCACAATTTAGTAAGTTAATCAACATAAATAAAAAAAATACCTACTGTTAAAACAAAAATCTGGGTGTGTTAAGCAGAAAAAGAAGAAGAAGAAGACGAAAAAAAAAAAAAAAAAAAAAAGGAATATAGTTACAATAATAAGTGTGAGAAAAATAATAAATTTTTATAGAACAATTGTTCAATCGAATAAATTAACCGATTTCCTATCGTTTTGATGAAACTATAATGAAAAAAATAAAATAAATAAAAAAAATAAAAATAAAATTGAGCGCGAATAACACGTGTGGAGAGAAGAAAAAAAAAAAAAAGACAAGCCTGCTTGTAGCGAAGCAGGTAATATATATAAATATTTATTTACAGAACCATTTGGATGTATGCATAGTTACAAGCAGGTTAAATGCCTGAAAAGGGAGATGACTGTTTTTTCGTTTTGAGTGGTTGTTGAAAGGTGTTCTGTTCGGGATAAAAATTCAAAAATTGGCAAAAAAAAAAAAAAAAATAGACAAATAAAAGGAGTGTACATAAAAAGGGTGCCCATAAAGAGGACGCAAATATAGTTGGGCATTCATGGCTAGCGGAATATATGCATATATCAAAAATTAAAAAAGTAGAAATCAGTCAAATGTAACGAAACCGAGTTGTACAGCTGAAAGGTGAGAAAAATGCACTTTTCCTTTTCATATCAACTATGTGAATTTGCAAATGGTGTAGATATATATACAACTCTTGGTTATGTAAATCCATGTAGACAAAAAGATTCCAAACTTCCACTAGAGCCAGCTATTGATAAATAAACCTTAAGGTTAGAAAATGCAGGTTTTTTTGACAAATATTTTGACTCTTCCTTTTCTTTTTCAACTGGTAAACAAGAGTAATTCGACTCGTGATTTTTTAAGTTTTCGTTAATAATTTTTTTTTTTTTAGTTATATATATATTTAAACAAGAAACATCATAAACAGCCATTTTCATTTTCTTTCTTCTTTCTATAATAATGTTGCTATTTTTATCCCTTTTCACGTTCCAAATGCAGATGTACTGATCCCAGGAAACACTTAGCAAGACGTTAGAAAAAAGGGCCAATGATCTAATGGAGGACATATGTGAATTTTGAAATTTTTTATTTTGCATAACTGATAGATGTATACGTCTAGTTTCATGGGTTAACACATCAGTGGGAAATCTAATTTCCAAAGTAAGTATATTTATGGATTGATCATCTCCTGAGGTAAATACATATAACAGAGTTTTCTTCTTTTTAATACATATCATACTTATTCCATTTTGGTGCACTTGTACTTTTTGCAACAGTGATACTAATTTTGTATCAAAATAGTAAAAGTGAATTTCTCCATTGTTTAACCCGCAACATAATATACTTCCACAAAATGTTTTATTCTCTTTTCTTTTAAAAGCAAGAAATTGTTCATTCAGTTGATTAGGAGTATCGAATAATTGTTTAAATGGTTCCTTAATACCATCAGTGGGGGCTAATGCTATGCATGCATTTTTTATAAGATTTTCTTTTTTTTCCCTTGTACTGACTTTAATACCATCATGACAGGGAAAAACCATATTCCGTCTCAGCTGATCGTTAACAAATTCGTTATTCTGCATAAACGGATTTTCTTCAAGTTTTTCGTAATAACAGTTTTGTTTTTCTGCTTTTTCGAACATTTCCAATGAATCTCTTTCTTGCAAAATGCCATTTGATGGTAGTAGGGTGTTCAAATTTGTGTTTACTTCCTTGTGTTCATACATGTTGTGAGTATATGTAAAAAGATTAGTGCTCAAAAAAATGTTTGTTAAATTTATAACCAAGATGGTGCTGTTTAAATTATGGGAAGATATTAGATGGGCTAATTCCACTATTTTGCAAAAAATTATATTTTTATAATACACAAATTCGTATACTCCTGAATAATGTAGTAAATGCCCAAGTGAAGTACCAATGAATAGATTTATCCTTATCAAATATTTATTGTTCCGGTAGGATAGTATAATATAATTACCTTGAACACATAGAAACCGTAAATCACTTGAGAATTTCTGAACTCTTACTTTTTCTATATGATATATAATTGGCGTTTTGTGAACATCCATATGGAGGTAAAATATGTTAATCGAATTTTTTGCCCCAACACTAGTTAACAATTTTAAATTTTTGAAATAATAAAAAGGATTTTGTAAGAAACACATGTGAAATATAGGTTCACTGTGATTGTGTACATTTTGAATAATACTCATTCGGTAGTTTAAGGGTTTAACAACTTTAGTTTTATTTATTCTCAACTTGGTACTAAAATATGGTGTGTTCCTGAATGGGTATTCGAAGGAAGAAAAGGGGAAATTTTTTTGTTTCCATTTTGACAGTACTGTATAATTAATATGTCTAAATGGTTTATTATTATTTTTTCTGGAATATTTTGATGGATCCGTAGAACCGAGTTTTCCATTTGTCATGTTCAGCAAAGGTGTAAGGCTATTTATGTCTTTGTCCCCATGTATAGATTTATTTATTTTAGATTTTGAAGAGGCCCATTTTTTCAAGTAAACAAGTTTTATGGTTCCATCTTCTGAACAAGTACATAAATAACTTTTATTCACCCATAAGACACACGAAACATTTTTAGCATGAAATCCTGAGTTTATATATATTTGTTCATATGGAATGGTAGCACCCTGGTTGTTATTTTGCAACTTTTTTAGGTAAAAGTGAATGTTTTTTTCTTTGCAAAAACAAAAAGAAAATTCTTTCATCATATTTATTGAAAATTTTGTAAAGATACTTAGGGGACGTCTGAAACCACCACATTCAATGGATAAATATTCTATTTTGTTTTTTAAATCGTGCAAAACGAATTTTTTCCCCTTAAAACAGCAAATGAGCATATTTTGTAAATTCTCCCTTTCTCTCTCTGCCTCTGGGGAAGTTCTATCCTGTCTTTTCTCGAAAAGACATTTCTGCTCCGCTTCTTCTTCCACATCTTCATTACTATTGTGACAATAATGCTGCTCCTTCTGTACTTTTCTTTCAATGGAATGGCCACTTAACACACTTGTCCTATCAGCATGCATGGGTAATAACTTGTAAATAGAAGAATAATATCCCACTTTGATTACACATAACTTGTATAAGGTATAAATATTATTTTCATCTTTATACAACTGATACTTGATAATATTTCCATTTTGTCCACATGAGTATATAAACTGATGAATTATTTTAATGTCAAAGACTTTCCTATTATTATGAACACGTAATTTTTGCTTCGATTTTATAAATGAATTCGAAAAATTATAAACAATTTCATCTGATTTTAATTGAATAGGTATATTTATATAAATGATGAAGATACATCCATATTCATCCCCAACAAAAAGTAGAATGCCCATTTTTCTTTTTTTTTGTCTCATAACATAATTTACTGATATAATTTTTGACTTTTTATTTTTTACATCTATATCTGTTTGTAAAATATTTTTTATTTCAATTTTTTTATTTTCATTTTCTACACTGAATATTTTGTTATCTCCTGTGTGGTCAAAAGTTACCAGAAGAAAATTTTCAATATGTATTATTCTTGTTTTTCTATTTTCTGTATTAATTTCATTCTCCTCTTGATATTTATATTCATTTGACTCATGGTTATATACTACTTGATAAAATCCTTTCTTTGAATTTGTTCCATGTTTTAAGCAGCTGTCCCTTATCCCTCTTCTCATATCAATACTAGCATCACTCTGTTGATCGAGACATCCATATTCCTCAGTATCTTTCTTCACAAAAGCATGCAACACATCTTCCACATTTTCATATATCTTGCACGAAATAAATTCCAGGTAGTTCACGGTTGATAGTGGGATTAAGCACATCTCACTTATGCGATGAGAGAAACATTTAAAATATGTTAATACCTTGTTCTCTTGGTCGGGATTGGTTGATTCACTTAAAAAATGAAAATTTTTTAAAAAAATAAAACAGCAGAAACCGTTACTAAATCCCAAGCATATATGATTTAAGCCGTGGCATATCAAGCATGTTAATAAGTAATTTTTTTTTTCTTCTTCATAAATTTGTAACATCTCTATTTCATTTGTATTTTTGGTTTTGAAAATGTAAATGTTTCCCAAATTTGTGCTCACAATTATGTCATGTAAGTTTACATGATTTACCGATCTTATCCAGTCGTTATTTTTTTTCAATTTTTCACTCAGATTGTCAATTACCAAGTTTACAGAATCGTCTTGCGCTGTTGGGCCTTTTACCTGACTGTTCTCGAGGTTACCGATCCCGTGGTGACTGCCTCTTTGAGTCAGCAGATTATCATCACTAGACACGCTTTGACCATTGTTTCCCCAGAGGGGTTTTTCATCGCTTAAGCAATTCTCTTCATTTTTACAATTTTTGGAATTGCCACATTTGTATGGTTTATGGACAGTCCCTATTTCCTCAGCATTCGTATCAACAGCTTCATTTTCGTTTCTCTTTTTTGAATCTTCCACTGGATCGAAAATAAGAGGATTTTCAGCCCATCTCTCTGAGGTTTTTTTTGAATCGATAGTTTCTTTCCTTTTTTCTTTCTCCACTTGTGGAGTGTGAAACATTTGTAACGATAGAGATCTGATATGTACAGTACCATTATCACTACCTGTAATTATATACCCACCAATGGAATGAAAACAGATACATCTTGTAGTGCTTCCGTTACTATTACTGAATTGGAAATAGTTTTTTTTTTTTTTTTTTTTTTTTCATACACTTTGCAAGTAGAGTCTTCGCTACATGTCATAAAATAAATTTGTTTGTTTAATATTCCTATGTCGATATCCCATATTCTGGCATCATGTCCAGTTAGTACCTTAAAACACTGATAATGATAACGATTCAACTTTATCACTTCGACTTCACTGTTGTTTTTATGTATATCTGAATGTTTTTCTTTTATCCACGATTCTGAGTTTTTTTCATCATTACGCACTCGTTTCCATATACGTCCCTCTCGGTCATCTGACACAGAACCAATATATTTTGAATTTTTAAAAAACTTGACTTTAAATATGATTCCTCTATGACCAGCTAATTCTTGAATATGTTCTAACGAAATGTTTTTTTTTTTTTTTTTTTTTTTTTTTTTTTTTTTTTTTTTTTTTTTTTTTTTTTTTTTTTTTTTTTTTTTTTTTTTTTTTTTTTTTGTGCCGAATTTCACAGCTTTGCTCTTTTTGATTTTCAAATTCCATAATAATATTTTGTTGAAAGGTGTTCCACCAACTACGTCAATTTTGTAAACATGTTTTTTTTCATTAATAAAAATGTCTGCACTGTATAGTAAGTGTATCCCACTTAATTTATACTTCCACAAACTAATACCTTTATACATGTCCAGTAATACTATACTACCATTGCTTAAACATAAAATAATAACATTTCGACTAGGTGTCTTGTGATCATATATTTTGGCATTTTGTTCATACAAGTGTTCATCTATGTTTGTATAATCATGTTGCAAAAATTTTGCTCTTAGAATCCATTTGTTCGTGCAATGTTTATTGATTAATATTAAATCACAGTTTTTACCATTTGATGTAAATTTTAGTATACAAAAATAAATTTTATGTACTCCGTGGGCAATTAAGATGCCTTTCTTTTCTGATTTCTTTTTAAATATTAAACCATAAATATTGCTACTTGTTGAGATTGCACATTCTAGAAGTATATTTATATTAGATATGTTTATTATTTTTATAATATTTCCAAATGAGATGCATACTACCTCTTTGTTGATAATGCATATTGCTTTAACACCATGATTTGCACACATTCGTTTGCACTTGATCATTTCTTGGTTTTTTCCTTCTCCCTTTTGTGGTTTTCCTATACATTTTTGGGCCATCCTTTTGTGAGTGTGATCTGAATCCAACTGTTCCTCTTTCACAGTTGTGCCTTTATTTTCCTGTACGCTGTTTCACGTAGGTATATTCTATCATCAGATATTGTTCCCTTCTGCTAATAGCATCTTTTCAACCTTTTTTTTTTTTTTTTTTTTTTTTTTTTAAATTTACTTTTCTGTCAAGGCACCTCTATCCGTTTCGTTTCTAAGAAAAATATATACCCTTCCCACATAATACGAATGTGTTGAAAATGGAAGGTATTTTGCTATGCTTATTTTTTGAGAATATATGTTCGAGTAGTTGAAGAATATTTATACGCATAACCTCTTTGCCCATACATCAGTGGTACATGCACATACAACTTGGATCATCCTAGCAGAATTCCCTTTCACGCATGGTGAATCTCCATCACTGAAACTTTTCCTTTAATTTAAGCAATACGCAAATACTACATTATGCAACAAAATGTGGATTTATAAAGCAATGAGAGGCAATATTTATGTACATGGTTTTATATATGTATATATAAATGGTTCAAAGGATATTTAGAAATTCATAAGTTTTATCATTTTTTTTCTTTTTATTATTTAAACAAGATAATAAAAATAAAACGTTTTTTTTTTTTTTTTTTTTTTTTTTTTGCTTTCCATTTTTAAATGGTCATATAAGGAATCCAACAACTCCTATAAATTTCGATCACGTTATGTTGGTCGGGTGCATACATATATTCACACAGCGTCGAACAAGTTTACGAAACATGTTTTGTTTAAATTATTTTATTATATTATTTTTATTATTTTATGTTGTTTTTTTATTTATTTTATTTTACTTTTCTGTTCACTTACATATTGTTGTACACTTTTTGGAATGTTTCATATGAATTTATTTGTACGTAAATGTGCTGTAATGTAAAAATAATGCTAATGTATGAAAAATAAGAAGAAAAAGTTTGTGTGTATTTTTTTGATATCTCCCAAATGGGGTCCAAATTATATTATATATTCTATTGAAGAAAATTGGGTTATGAAAATCACGAGGTATTTTTAATATACATTTTAAAGGTCATAAAAAAAAAAAAAAAAGGGAGAGAAGGAGATAGACACATCCTTATTTTATGAAATACAAATATAGTTTGATATAATCAAACTTATATATGTCATAAATGTATTAATAAATTTAAACTATATGTTCAACAAATAAGCGTATTTATGTAAATCCAAATTTACATATATTTGTTTAAGTACAGGAGAGCATAAAATACATGTTTTACCAATTTTTACTGCAATTATTTTAATCGTTCCAAATTTTCTAAATATAATAAATCCACGGGAATTTTTTCATTTTTACAACATACTTTTCAAGTAATGAATTAGGATACTTGCTGCCACGGAAACGTTTAAAGAATTTGTCATTTCATGCATTGGCAAACTTATTCTACAAAAAAAAAAAAAAAAAAAAAAAAAATGTGAAGGAAATTCTCCAAACATATAAAATGGACTCAAAAGAGTAAAGTGTCTTTTTTTTTTTTTAAATTATAACAATGGGACAGTTTTCCATTATTTACACATAAATATATGCATGTATAGTTGCATATGAAATGTGTGGATAATTATGATGTTACGGTTTTGCAAAGCTTAAGATATCCGCATGAGGGCCCGTAGATTCATTTCCTAATATGAGACAAATTCCCTCCTCCTGCTGAGTTGATGTTTTTAAAATATGAATAGGACTCACTCCACGAGTGTGTGCTACAATGGGAAGTACATTATGTGTTTCGCAGAACTGTCTTAATTCTGTATATGAACCAAATATATAGGGTATATGAAAATGAGAACCATTGGTTATTTCAATTACTTTGTGATTAAAAGGATCCACAGTGTTGTGAATATAAAAGAGACAATCAATATTCATAGAATAAGCAGTGTTTAATATTTTCCCTAAATTATATGCATATCGTATCCTATCAAGAGCTAGTAAAAATTTGATACGTTCTTTTTTTTGAACTGAATTTGGAATTTTTAAAATAGCTACAGCATCGTTACAAGTTATTTTGTTAACTTTTAATGAATCATGAAAAATGTAATTTATCATATCATTATTTACATAATACAATTTAGGGCATTTATTTTTAAAATGTTGTAACAAATTCTTTTGATTTGATAAAACAGCTTCAAATATAAGATCATTATTATTCGCCAAATTCATAATTGTTTTAGAATCTTTAACAAAAAACGAATTCATTTTTTTTCGAAAATTCCTTTTTTTTCGTAGTCTTATTATATACTTCATCATTTTAGATTTTTTAGAAATGCTTAAATATTCTCTATCATTTTCCCTTCCTACCACGTTTACTTGTGTTCCCTTTATTCTCTTATTTATTTTACTTTTCTCTTTTCCGTTAAGACTTATCCAATGTGGTTTAAGATGTTCACCTTCACTACTTCCATCACTACTGCAAGTGTTAACAACAGAGTACCACCTTTGTTGATGATTATGATGATGAAACCTTTTTATATTGTTGTCATTTCTTAGATAACCAATATTTTGCGCAAGTATAAAAAAACTCTCTGATAAAAAACATTTCTTAATCATGTGTTTCTTTATCACATTTGCAAAAAAAAACATTTTAATTATTTTATGTCTTATAAAAATAGATTCAATCACTATGTTAGTTTTCATTCATTTTATATATATCTGCTCTCTCTATAATGTAAAAGAAAAAAGAGGATACTTTGGATGCATTTTTTGTTTGCACTATGATGCTTATTTATCAACTTGTATATAATTTAAAATTTAAAACGTATAAAAAAGAAAAAAAAAAAACCTTGTTCTATAGTGAAAAAGAAAAAAAATTCTTCAACAATAAAACAAAGTTGCAATATCCTATAAAATATATATTTTCTATGCTTCTGAGATTTCATAGATAGGGGTGAAGTGGGATAAATGTAAAATGTCTTAGTATTATTTATTTAGGCCAAATATATAATATACAACTATTTTTCAAAAAATTTGCTTAATTGTTTAAAAGAGGGCTGAAATATTATAGTTTTTGAATGAGCTTTTGAACCTATTCCTATATTGCATAAATACGATTCTTTTGATACAGTAGGAAGAAAGAAAAAAAAAAAAAAAAAAAAAGGCTTTACATAATGGAGCGTGACATTACAGTTTAGGAAAGATTCAAATAGGGGTCGGAATGACAGATACAAGTGTGCAATGTGGAGGACGAAAAGAAAAAAAAAAAAAAAATGAAATGACATGAAGGCGAATGATGACTTATAAAAAATAGGGAACATTTTCTCAAGATTTTTCTTTTTCCTCTTCGTTTCCTCTTTTTAAAGATCACTCCGTAGTATGATTTACACAAAAAAAAAAAAAAAAAAAAAGAGTTAAAATATAAAATAAGATGTTACAATTCCTTGCTCACATGAGCAAGTAGTAAATTGTTCCTATTTTCTTCCTTTTTTCATACGAAACCTTCTCCCATAAGAGTCTCCTTATTTTTTGCTTCAAAAAAGGAAACATGAAAATAAAATGAAATTGAGAGAAAACAGGGGATATATAATCCAAGTATAATAAAATAAACTTTAAATTTTACAAATTTTGGTCATTTCAGAAATGTTATTCCTTAAGTTTTTACTGCTTTTATTATTTAGGGCGAAATACCTTTGTTCACTTAAAATACACACACACCTCTTGCCAAAACTATTTTTAAACAGTTCAGTTAATTTTCAAATCAGTAGTAATAAAAGCGTTTACAAAAATAAAAGGGATTTTTCGTTATATGGTGTCCCAAAGAAAAAAAGTTCACATAGAAGAACAAGAAGAAGAAAAGTAGCATGGATGAAGAAAAACCCAGCAAAATTATACAGAGTAAGTTTGTTATAACACTCCCCAAAACACAGCCCAAACATTTGAAATATAATATATATGCATAAGTTTTTACACCTATCTTTTTGTTCTACGCATTTGTGTGTAGTTATGTTTTGCATAAGGGAGACATAAGGAGGTGAAAAGTGTGTTGTGATATTTTTACCCATATGTACTTTAATATGAAAAATAGTTGGGTGATTATTAGAGAGAAATTGTTACCCAAAGAGTTTGCAAATTTTTACTAAATATATATGTACACAGGTGTGTATATTCATATAAGTTCTCATGTGAGCTTATTTCATGAGTTTCACCTCAATTTTTTTTTTTTTTTTTAATCCCCACAGACAAGCTCCTACGACATGGATGAAATAATGAGATACACTGACAGAAAATTGACAGCACATTATACAACCAGAGACAGTTGGCTAAACCTACCATCAACAACCCTAATTAATGATTTTTTTTTGTTTAGAGAAATAAGAAGCTAAGGGGAGTAGAAAAAAAAATTTAAGTGCCCCTATTTTCAATTTTGGTTTTACGCACACAAAGCCCGGTGTGCATATATATCGTATAAATAAAAAAGAACTATTTTTTTTTAAAAATTTTTACGTCCTTCAAAAAATGTGTGTAAAATATGTATACTTACTTTTTCACATAAACCTATTAGCATGCTTTTTTTTTTTTTTTTTTTTTTTTTTATAAAAAAAAATTATCAAATATGTGGAACTAAATGAAAACAGGTGATAAAAATTATTTAACAAATTGGTGAAATTAAACAATAAAAAAGAAAAAAAAAAAAAAAATGATTTTAATGATGGTAAGAGGGGAAAAAAAAAAAAAATTTACAGATATTTTTACAACTCTCTTGTTAATTTCAATTATTATCATTATTATTTTTTTTTTTTTTTTTTTTTTTTTTTTTTTTTTTTTTTATTTTTTAACAATTTTTAAATTATTTTTTTTTTGTTTTTTTTTTTTTTTTTTTTTTTTTTTTTTTTTTTTTTTTTTTTTTCTTTATTATTATTTTTTATTATTATTATTTTTTTTATTATTTTTTTAGTTTAAAAACATCCTGTACAAATTTTTATTTAAGAGGCAGTTGACTCGCTGCTGTTTCAGATGTGTGCGTAAATAAAGCGTTGTTTTACAACAATTTTTTAAAAAAGTGTTACTTCTTAACTCTTTTTACACACCTTTTGAAGGTAAAATAAGAACAATTGTGCGTATATTTATATACAATTTAGAACAATAAACCGGTTAAAAAAAAAAAAAAAAAAAAAAAAAAAGCTATCTCATAATTAATGTTAACATCTGATGTTAACACTTTATTTTTGCAATTCGTGTGAGCAATATATGCAAGCAATTTATGTAGAAAATTATGTAAGAAAATTATGCAAGAAAATTATGTAAGTAATTTATGCAAGAAATTTTATGTTAATAATTTACAAGAGCAACTTGAGTTAATAACTTATGTTAACATTTTTTTTTTTTTTTTTTTTTTACCGGGGTTAACACCATTCCTTAGTGAACAACTTTACAGGTTTTCACTTTTAACAATTAAATTTTGCGAACAATTCTATAATCTCACAAAATGAAATTTTTAATTTAGAGCATTTCAATTTTGGAAAACTCCATATTTTTTTAAAAGAAGAGAAAAAAAGTAGCCTTTTTTTTTTATATATATATATTATATTATTTTTCTTCAGTTCCTTTTATTTTATTTTACAACATTTCTTTTTATTTTTTTCCCTTTTTCGTTCTGATTTTTTCCTCTATTCGGATTTGAAAGGAAAAAAAAAAAAAAAAAAAAAAAAAAAAAAACACATTTTGTGTGTAAGAGTGTGTATTATTTTATTTTTTATTTTAATGCCTTAAGCACAACAGGGAAATATAGAAAAACCAAATTCTAGTTCCACGAAAACTTCTTCCTCCGCTTTTGCAAACACGCAAACAAAAGGTAAATGTCTTAGCTAGATTGTTTTTAAAGTTTGAAACAACAAATATATTACTGCTACCGCGAGCGACATAATTATACGTAAAAACATGTGTACAAATATGTAAACAAATGTGCATATGTGCTCTCTTTTATGTGCGCTCAGATGAGAAACATTTAAAAAATGCCAAAAATAGTCATAACACATAAGTAATTTTCCCGTTATATACATGTAGAAATATATACATAACCCTCTCACACACACATACTCTTCAAACCAATTTCACTTTTTATAGAACCCTTACTGAAAATTAGCTATCTTTCTTTATCTTAAACCCCTTTCATGCGATTAATCCAAATTGTTTCTGTCTTTGCCGGTTGCCATATTTGTGCACGAACTGAGACAAGCGGATAAATCTACATACATATATACGTATATACACCCGTGTGAACTTATACACAGATAGTAAGTATTACTTGAGAAAATGTGTTCGACAAACCAAAAATTAACCTGCTGCTCTGGGGATAACGTTTTTGAGTCTAAGGAGAACGAGAATGACTCATATCCACAAATGGTAAATAAACAGTTGCCACCAAAAGTGTTAGAACCAATTGTACAAAATAAAATTGTTGAAGTCCCCAAGGAAGTATATCTAGAGAAAATTGTAGAAGTTCCCCAAATAAAAACCGTTGAAAGAATTGTAGAACAAATTAGACCAATCATACAGTATAAAAATGTTTACAAAACAAAAACAGTGTATGTTGAAAAGATTAAAAATATTGATAGAATTATTTATCAAGAAAAGATTATTGAAGTTCCACAAATAAAAACAGTCGAAAAAGTAGTAGAAGTACCAGTATACGTTAATAGAGAAAGAATTATAACAGTACCAAGATACATGGTAGTAGAAAAAGTAATACCTGTATTGAAAACATCCAGAAAAGAAAGTACTAAGGAAATTCCAGAAATTAATTGTCCAAATATTGATATTACTAAAGAAGTTGAAGAAAAGGAAGAAATAGCAGTAGAAGATATAAAAGAAAATCAAACAATTAATGTTTCATATGAAAAAAGTATTAGCTTAATGAATGAATTAAATATTCAAAAACTTAATTCAAATGGAACTCTTAATGCTGACGCTGATCAAGATACAACTATGGACACTGTAAATCAAGAAAATTTTTGCACAACAGTAAGCTGCAAATTCTTACCGATATATGACAACTTTCCTAAATTTCAATCATCTGTATGTAAAGGACTTCCAGAAAGAGAAAAAAGATTTTCAAGTATGAGCATATATAAATCAAAAGATTCTGGTTTCCCTAAAATTAGAATTTCTAAAACTCCACAGTTTATGCAGAAAAATTGCTACTGTAACTATGCTTGATTCCTGAATGACAAACATTCTATCCCTAATACTTCAAAGAGCACACATTGTTGATATGTGCAAATCTGGATCAGTTTTTACTTCAGCTATAGATTGTATAGAAGTTTGTCCCAGTCTGACTGCCTTTTTTTTTTTTTTTTTTTCTTTTTTTCGTTTATTATTTTATTTTATTTTATTTTTTTTTTTTTTGGTTGTCGTTGTTGTTATTACTACCGTTTATGATTTCCTTTTTTCTTGTACCTCTAGAAGCAAACGGTATGCTGTGGATGTTAATAAAATGAATTTCACACATCCCATATGTTTAAAAAAGTTTAAACAAATGCGTAAACAAATTTTTTTTTTTAATTGTAAGTCTTATTTTATATTATTTTATTGTATTTTTTTATTATAATATTTATTTCATCTTTTCTAACTTTTCCTTTTTGTTATTTTACATATCCTTTTTTTTTCTCTTTTTTTCGTGCCATACTTAACTACCTTTTCCAGACGTGTTTTGTATTGCGTGAGACAAAAAAAATTTTTTTTTTTCTTTTTTACATTTTAAAATCATATACGATATAAAAATGTGTCTAATATGATAAAACTAATGAGAACATATAACACCCTTTTTGAGGTTATGCATTTTCCCATCTTCTCTATTTTTTACTAGTGTAAAATGTTACCACTTTAACTTCATCATATTTTATTTACATATTTAGTGCTCTTTCAGGTTGTGAGACAGTATCACTTATGCTACCTTAAAAGTGTGACATATAAGACAACTAAAAAAAAAAAATAAAATAAATAAATAAATAAAACTTTTGAGCAATTTTAATGAAGTTTTTTTTTTTTTTTGTTTTTTTTAATTATAATAATTTTTAAGGAATAACGCATTTATTTGACATTTTTGTTTATTAATATACTTTATGAGAATGTTTATAACGAAGGCGTAGTTGTTTTGTGGCATTTTTGCAGATAGGTACTAGAAAAGTTGGATATGGAAAAAATTATCTATGTCATTTGTTGTGTTGTGTCAAGATTTGGAAGAAATTTATTTGTCCATGTATATGTGCAAATTCACTTCCCGATTTGTTCATTTTGATGAAAAGCTTTCGAGTTCTTTGCATGGTTTTTCTGCCTTGTTCTGTATGTACACTATTTTCAACAAAAGTAACTGTTTTTCTTAAGCTAGATTTGTTAATATATCATTTGTACTTGATGGGTTAAGAATAATAAAACAAGAGAAATAAAAAAAAAAAAAAAAAAAAAAAAGAAAGAAGGGAAATAAGAAGAAGAAAAAAAAAAAATGTGCACAAGAAAAAATTTTCATTATTTTAGTAAACTAAATGATAAAACCCATTTTTGCAATTATAAATGCACAACTTTTGAGACACATAAAAAAAAAAAAAAAAAATTCAAATTTAAAAGCAAAAGGGAAGCAAATAATTCATGATTTTAAAATATAACAATTGTGATGAAAATTAACTGAAAACAGGTTCATATATTTCCAAAGATATGAACATTTTATTTTTTTTTTTTTTTTATAATGACGATATTCAGGTAAGAAAAAGTTGGTTGGGAGAAGAAAACTATATAGTGGTGTGAATGGAAATGAATAAATGTTAGAATAATGTGATAAATGTCGACGTCTACATGTAAGAAGATAGGTCGTTATGAGGTTCTAAAATCTATTGGACGAGGATCATTTGGAATTGTTACGGCAGTGAAAAATGACAAAGAGGAAATGTATGTATGTTTCCCTTTGCACAGAAATGAATATTTATATGACATATGCAATTGAACATTCTTTGATTGCTGAACTGAACGAACATAAATTTTATTTAAAACGATTAACTGCGCTAACATTGCACAACCTCTTGTGAATTGCCACACAGATATGCATATATACATATATATATTTGTATGCCTTGCACGCATAATCAATTAGATTCGTCGTTAAACAGCTGGACATGTCATGCATGAATTATAAAGAAAAAATGAACGTTGTGAACGAACTGAGAGTATGAATTGGAAAAAACACAAAATGGAATGAGTGCTTGCATAAGCGTTAATATGTTAAATGGGAGCTAAAGGAAAAGACGTGCACATTTTGTTGCTCAACATGATTTATTTTACTTTATTATATTTTACTGTTTTGTTGTGTTTTGTTGTGTTTTGCTCTATTTTGCTGTTTTGTTCTGTTTTGCTCTGATTTGCCCTTTTTTTTTTTTTTAATTTTTATTTTTCTCTTCGCTTTTTCTCTTGTCTAAGGCATTAGTTGAAGTTTCAATGCATCCTTTCATCGTGAGATACAAAGAAGCATTCCTTGAGAATAACACTTTATGTGTCGTTATGGACTACTGCTCAAGTTTGGTGTCTTTTTTTTTTTTTTTCCCTTAATACTAATGTGCATATATAAAATTTAGAACTTTTTCATGGTAACATACGCCTTTTCCTTTTTTTCTCTTTTATTTTTTTCACGAAATGAAGAAGGGGATTTGGGCCAATACATAAAAAGAAACAAGAAAATGAAGACGTTTATTCCTGAGAGCAAAATAAGAAGGTGGTTGTTACAAATAATTACTGCAATAAAATTTATGCACGATAAAAAACTTATACATAGGGGTAATTAAACAATTCATTCTTTGCTCAGGCATAAGAACTAAATTGTTGTGAAAAAAAAAAAAGAATTACTTCTTTGATTAGACAATTTGTGATTTACACTTATGTACATTTCAGTTCTTAACAGATGATGTTACTTCATACTAGGTTATCTTATGTTCTTTTTTTTTTTTTTTTTTGTAAGATTTAAAATGCAACAATATATTTTTGGACGAGGATGAGAGGGCTAAGGTGGGTGACTTTGGATTAGTAAAAATTTTTGAACACACAGAAGAAGCACATACGTTGTGCGGGACCATCGGGTATATGGCACCAGAAATCTGCAAGGTAAGTCATCTGTAATTGTACGATTGTTTTGTTGGCTTATTCCTAGCGTCTGAACTTTTTCACCCCTTCCTTTTTTCACTCCATCAATTTTGTACTGCTTATCACTTAAGAACGCACCCTACAGTTTCCCTGCTGATATATGGTCACTGGGAGTGATATTGTACGAACTCATGAGTCTAAGACATCCGTTCAAATCGGACAATTCTAATATGTTATCGATGGCTCAGAAAATTTGCGAAGATGAGGTGTGTGTAAAATGATAAAAAAAAGTGTAAAAACGAACCTTAAAAGTGGATAAAAATTTGTCAAAGTGGGATAAAATGTTACCAAAAATGGTAGCAAAAAAAAATTCAATTTTTTTTATTTTTTTTTAAAACATTCCTTTGTAGCCAGATCCTCTACCTACCAACTATTCAAAGGACCTGATTCACTTGTGTCACTGGATGTTAAAAAAGAATTCACAAGATAGACCTACATCTTGCGATATTATCGCGACTGATTATTTGCAGGTAAATTCAAGTAATTTCCGTGTTAAATGAAAAAAAAAAAAAAAAAAAAAAAAAAAAAAAAAAAGAATATACATAAAATTAAGTTTAATTGTATGTGAGATAATGGAAGAATTTTTTTTTTCCATTTTACAGAATGAGGTACATTTACTAAAAAGTGAGATATTAAGAAGCATGAAATGAAAAAAAAAAAAAAAGAAAAAAAAAAGGTATGTATGTTCCAGGTATAGTGGATATATAATCTGTCCGAGAAATAGTACCATGTGTGTATGACTGTTGGAGGTATATTCGTGAATTAAATTTTCCCCATGGTTGCGAAATGAAAGAAAACATGAGAGGGAGGATAAGTGGGCGTATTTTTTTATTTTTACTTTTTTATTTTTATTTTATTATTTTTTTTGATTGCTGCATTATTAATAAGAATGTACACGTGATTAGACAAACGTGCTTAGAAGTTAAATTGTTGTGATCGTTGTAGGAACTGTCAAAGAAGACATAGCGCATGAAGTAAATGTTCTTCTTTCTGGGATTCATATAATCCATTCCATTGATAATAAGGTATAGAAATGGTATAAAAGTTCAGATTTGTAAGGATCCATTTCTTATACTTGGTATTATTGCTTTCTTTCATGGTGTAATGCATTACATTAGGAGCACGTTCTTGTTCTTTAATTACTAAGTTGTAATGCGTTCTTCCATTAAATTCAATAGCGACATGTTTGCACTGATTATTTTTATAGAGCTCAATGAACACATCTACCAAAATTTTTTGACTTGTTATGTGTTCGTAAATTACATTCTTGTAATGTTTTTTCAAAATATGGAGTATAGCACATTGATTAAAGTTGTAATTTTTTCTTTCCTTTTCGAGAACAATTTTATTTTTATAACAATGGGTTAGATAATTTATTTGGTGTGATAAATAAGTAAACTCGTTAGATACCATATCTGAATATGTGTAATGTACATTTTTAGTATCGTACTTTAAAATAACAAGTTCAAGAGTTTCTCTTCTTTCTTTACTTAAATTTTTGATAAACCTGTTTATCATTATGTCCCATCCTAATAGTGTGTAGTAGATCTTATGCGTTAAGGATGCTTTAAATTTTGTTTTATTATTTTTTTTTAAAAAATTTATATAAAATTTAAACAGAGATATGTTAAATATACCTACAATGGATGACACGAAAAAGAAGTTACAAAGCTGCGACATATGTGTGGATTCTTGCATGTTTCCATTCAAAACGTAATATTTGCAATAATTATATAGGTATAAATTTTGGCTAGTTAGTTCTACTAATGTTAATAATTTTAAGTAGTTATCAAACATATTTCTTTTACAAATAATACTAGAAAAAGGGTTGATATTTTTGTAAAAATTAACTAAATGTAATACTACCTCAGAATGAATAATTTTGGAATAATACATTATATTAATAATTTGAGATAATATCAACACGTCATGTGGTGATGCTATTCTTGATAGCAGAATCTCATTCTTTAATTTTTTTTTTTTTGCTACTTTGAAATAATGGCTAAGAAAATTCTGAACGTTCTTTTCACATATTATTCCACCTTTCGTTGTGGCATAAAAAAAATTAGCTAACTGGGAAAACTGTGAAGCTTCTATTTGGTCGTAATTTATGTTCTCCAATATTTGGAGCATTAAATTTATTTTATGAGTAACTATTTGATGATATTTCAAATTGTACAATTCTTTGTATTGGTAAGCGATATTTGATTTTTCGCCACTCCTGTTCAGTTTGTTACTATTTTTTAAAACCTTCACATTGTCGGCATAATTATTGCTCGCCGAATGGATATAAATGAAATTCAATTTTTTAAGACCTTTTCTATTGTGTAAATTGAAAAAAAAACTAAAAAATTTTTCACAAAAATTTAATATTAATAAATAATTACTTATTGTGTACAGTGGTAAGTAGTTTATCAGACGATCTATGACAATTTTAAGGACAAATACATAGCAAGCGTTTAAGTTTAACAAATTGTATTCTTTGCAAATTCTATTTTGTAATGCACAATTATATGAGATATTTTTAGTCGATGTGGTATCATATTTACCTGTAAGCGTTTTCAATTTATTTGTCAACTGTTTTTCATCCAATGGGCATAGGTTACTAATTTTTTCATAAATGGTTAGCCATTTTTGCTCACTAACTTGCATATTTTTTAATAAATACGACATTTTTATTAAATTCATGTGAATATATTTTAATTTATCCTCTTGATTATGTAGTGTTTTAAAGAAAAGTAAATTTGGGTTTTTAATACTTTCTTCCGATATGCACTGTTCAATGTAATGGATCGTCTTTTCAATCTTCTTACCTTCCACATTTGTTATGTACCCCTTTGCATTACTGAGATTCCTTCTGAAGGTGTTGAAAATTGTTCTATTTGAATATGTTCTTCGAGACACGCTCATCCGCATTGTGTTTGTGGGCTTGTGTGTATGTCGAATATGAATTATGTCTCGATTTGAGCACTTTTTATAGTTTACTAGAACTTTGGATTCGTTCTGTCCAATCTTATGGATTTTAAAATTTATTCTTTCATATATAATTTCAGTTGTATTTTTCATTCCATTATTATTTATTTATTTTTTTTTTTTTTTTATCCTTTATTTTGTTATTGCTGCACTATGGAAAACTGGGTGTGGGTACAATTCAAAGTGGTCTCATATTTGTACGTTGTTTCACTTTCACTCTTTTTCCTTATACTTTAAGCGATAGTATTTGTTTTGAATATGGTCATATTTCCTGACTTGATAATCGCATAAAGAACGTGTGGATTATAAATTGCTTCTTTTTTCTTCCTTCATTCTGTAATCCGCAATCTGTAATCTGCAATTTGTAATCTGCAATTTGTAATCTGCAATTTGTAATCTGCAATTTGTAATCTGCAATTCGTAATCTGCAATTTGCATTCTTCATTCTGCTTTCTTCATTATGCTTTCTTCATGCTTCATTCTTTATTCATTATTTCCTTTTAATGTGTAGCATCTTAAGGCGTAGCTGTTTGGTACTTTGTATTTATACACTTGTCATATATTTTCAGCCTAATGACCATTACACATTAAGTATGATTTGTTTGCAATTCTTTCCATAAATTTGTCATGCAAATTTGTTGTACTTAACATCGGATAGATTTCCTTTTGTTATGTTTATTTCTTTATGTTGATCTTTTTTTCGACTGCGTTTTGACAAGAATTTTTTACCTAAATTCTTGGTACCATGTCACCCGAGCTATTCGTTTTGAATGTTATATTTATATTGGTATTCTCACCCCCACCACACTATCGAACTTTTTTTTTTTTTTTTTTATTTCTCATTATTTCCTTTTTCGTGCAAATTAGCTTTATTCATTTTCTGAACATTTTTGTTACTTATAATGTTATGTTTTATTTTTATTTTATGATATATTTTATATAATTGGTGATGGCTGAAGAGAGTTGTTTATAACAGGTTTGTTTCCATTATTTCAGCAAACATTTCACCAATATCATTTTTTGAAGCATTAACAAGTGCTTTGAAAAAAAAAAAAAAAAGAAAAAAAAAAATTCGAATGATTGATGGTCGACCATGGGAAAGGGGTGTAGTAACATATACACAAAAATGTCAAATATGGTTTACTATATATGCACATACATATATAGCTACTAATATATATTTTTTTTTTTTTTTCTCCTTTTTATAGAAAATAAAAAAAATATACACACATGTTTGGAATGTTCCCGTTATAAAGCTTACCAAAAGAGTGAACATATATGTTTTATATATAAATATTTATCTACCCCTTACTATCATTTTTTTTTTTTTTTTTTTTTTTTTCCACAACATCATAAGGAACATCGAAAAATAGCAAATTTATTTATGTGTCCACGTTCATCCGTTGATAAGTTTTCAAGTATTCCTCAAATTAACATAAGGACGATATTCAAATGGTTAAGAGCCATCATTTTAACATTTGTCAAAGTTAAAAGGGAGCATATTTGTATGGGTGTTTTAAAATAGGTTAATATGTGTTGTACGGCAAAAAAATAGAGGGGGAGGGAGATGGGAAATTTGAAATAAAAAATAAATAAAGTAAATAAATAGAAGTTTAGTATGAAATGAAGGATGACTGGTGCAAATTTTCAAGATGCAAATTCTTTTTTTATTTTATTTTATTTTTTTCCTATTAGATAAGACTATTGAGAAAGGAATAAATAATAACAATGTGACCGTTCACAAGGATGATGAAGATTTTTTGCTTCTAAACAAGGCTAAGATTACTGCTGTGACATATTCAAATGCTAAAAAAATAGAAAAGAGTATACTACATAAAGTTTTAGAAAATGAGGGTAAGGAGAAGAAAAGGCAGAATAGTTATGTTTTATTAGACGAACGGGTGGATGCGTACGAGATGTTAAATATTCGATGCATATTTAAAATTCGAGAAAATTTTGATAAAACAAAGTTGATCATTCTGTTAGTGAAGCAGCTAGAGGAAAAATATAATCACAAAAAGGATATGCATTATGGGTGCAATGATAATGTGGAAGATTTAAAAAAAGATGAAACATTTGTGTTTAAAAATGAGTTCGAAGGCAATTTAGTTATTTCGAAAGTTTCATTACTGTTTGTTAATTTGATAGCTTTTAATGGATACTACAACTTTGATATTTTAATAACAGATGGGGCTAATTCTGTAAAAATAAGCTTCTTCAAAATGTATTTGCACTTTCATAATCACATACCTATAGTGAAATTTCCCCTTCGAGAAAAAGAAAACAGAATAATTCGGAATATTATGAAAAGACATTTATGCAGACGCGATAAAATGTTTAATTATAAATATGTGATTTACAAATCCAGGGATTATTATCCCCTTCCTGTATTTCAGGAAAATAACATAATTTATAGAAACAGTAATGAAGGGGATGGGATAAATCCAATTATACCCATAATATATGTTACATTGTTATTAGTCTTTTTTTTAATATATGTATATTTTATTTTTATCCATTTGAAGATAAACATGAAAAACATTAATATAAGCTATTATAACTATGCTTTTTTATTTTCCTTTACACTTCTTATGTTCTTGTTTATTTTGTATGATTTATTTTTTAATATTCTACATATGCTTTATATCTTCCCCCTCGTATTTTTTCCCTTTTTAGTATTTTTTTACAAATCATTGAATATTTTGCGTGCGTTTAGAAAGTGTCCTTCGCACGCAGGAAAATCTTCCACAGAGTGAAAAAATTGGAAAATACATGCACAACATTAGGCAAAAGTGACAGTCTCAAATTGGACAGATTTGTGATAACTTCTTTGGTTTTTTATTTTTGACTTTTCATTTTTGAAATTTTTTTTTTATTTTTGACCATTTTTTATATTTGACCTTTTTTTATTTTTTCGAAACCACGCATACTTTTGAAACACATTCAGCTCCACCCTCAACTATATAATGATATTTTCCCCTTTGTGTTGTACATTTTTGAAAATGCACATATTTATTATAAAAAAAATGACGTGAATTTTTTTCACTTTTTAATTGTAGCAAAAGGGGGGTAGTTAAGGTTTCACTACATTTAATGAACATGGATAAAAAGAAAGCTTACTGAGAGGAATGAAGAGAAATGTATAACAAAAAAAAAAAAAAAAAAAAAAAAAAAAAAAGGGTGTTTGTGTGAGGGTAATGTTATATATATCACCTAAATAAATATATATGAAATGGATACTCGTCTATACACATGGACATATGTATGAACCAAAGTGTCTGCACACGTATGTATACATGTATCAAGGAAGCACACACTTAGACCGTTCTTTCTCTTTATCTATGCAAGTATATTCATGTATGTGTTGCAGAAATCACATTACAGCACGAAAACATATTGCGGTGGGGGAATATACACCTAATGACTACAATAGTGTATTTTAAAAATAGAAAAAATAAACAAATAAACACTACGGATCGGTGAAGAGGGGGAGTTGCAAAAAAAAAAAAAAAAAGAAAAAAAAAAGAAGAGTTAATTACAAAAATTTGCATTTATTAGATACGTGTTTAACAACTGGACAAATGATTTATATCATTTTTTTTTTTAACCATCCTCTTAACGTTCTTGAGGAAATTATTATAATATTTCGTGATACCCCAAATTTCGTTGTAAATAGAGTGTGATAAGACAAAAGAGTTACGTGCATATGAACCGAGTGTATCTGCATAAGGATCAAGCATATCTGCATAAAAATGGGCATCTGTTGGTATGGGTTATGTATGTTTTTTTTACAAATACTATTTTATATATATGTATATATTTGCACAGGTAAAGCAAAAAATATGCTCGTTGTGTCATACATAGGAGAGACTTTTTACTCAAAAAAAAAATCAAAATTTTGTGTCGTTTTATTTTCATTTTTCACATTGTTCCTTTTTTCCTGATCCATAAGAATTTCCAAATTTCCTCTATCATGATTAACACTGTCTGCATTTTCTGCATTTTTTTGATGAAACACATCGAATGAATTATGTTTGTCTCCATTTGTTGCATTACACTCTGTTTTATTTACAAGGTTTTTTCTATTACCAACTTGATTTTCTTGACTATTTAAATTTCCATTATTTTTCTTCTTTTCCAAAAAGGAAATATTTTTCGAGCTAGCAAAAAGTCTCGCAATAGATTTCTTTGCTGCTTGTACTTTAGCGTCTCTTAGTTCTTTTTCAGAAAGTGTGTCATGGTTACAAAAATTTTTATTTTCACTAGGTTTGGGAAAATCGAATTTCTCGTTGTTATTTTCTTTATCTCTGCTTCGGCTATTACTTACATTCTTGGCACTTTTGTTATTCCTATTTTCATTTGTGTTATCACCATTAGGGTTATATTTTTTTACTTCTTCTAATGGGGAAAAATGTTTACTATTATTACCATGGTCATTATCCTTATCCGAAGGTTTCATACCCTTCTGGATATTCATATCAATTGAGCTGGTCTTTTCAAAATTTTCATTTATAAAATCATTGAAAAAATAAGAATCATTGGGTATATTCCTATTCTTCTTATTGATATTATTGCAATTATTTTCATTATAGTTTATGTCGTCAAATGCACAAAAATTGTCTTTCATATATACTTTTTTTTTTACACATTCCTTTTCTGTGTAGTCTGCAAATATGCTTATTTCCTTCTCACTACCAGCACTGCTCTTTTTGTTTTTCATCGTCACTTCTAATTTTGTATTATCTAAAATTTTTAAGGAATCAAAAATGTCTATGCTTCCTGTGTTTTTCTTTATTTTTTCACTACAAATGGGGAAATGAGACAAAATACGTATGCGAATGAGAATATCACAAGGTAAGTAATTAAATAAATGTAGGAGGGATGTGCACACACACACACACACACAAAGACAAAGACACACAAAAATATGGGCTCATGGCATATGAAGATATATGTACGTTCATACAGGAAAACATTTTTAAAAACTTACATGATGGGGTTATTCCTCGAATTTTCTTTATCGTGTGTTTTATTTTCGGTATCTCTGTTCTGGCTGATGAAATGTGGAAAAGGGGAAGCAAAAAAATAAAAATGTGTATTCTCAATTTAGGAAGATTATCTGGTGCACTGTTTTTATTCTACTTTCATAAAAAAGTGGCAAAATAGTTATGTACCTAATGTGTACATATATATATATATATGTTTATCTATTTTTCAGTTTTGCTCACATCATTTTTGCATTTAGGGAGGCTAAGTCTGGGAGGCAAATTCTCGGGTCGATCCCTGTAAAATGGAACGGGGTATGAGAATGGAAAAAGTTACAACTTTCGTCCACGAGCATGTGCATGTATATTTATCTATGCATATTTGTATGTGAGAATTTGTTCATATATTTGCATATGTACTACTCCTGCACAGGGAATAGGTTGCACTTTACCTTCCAGGTAGTACTGGGATGGCTCCTTCTTATTTGCTGGGACATATATCTTCTTTTCATACTTATTTTTTATCCAATTTTGCATGATTCTGCGAATTTTGAAAAAAAAAACAAAAAAGGTTACAAAATGTTATTTTTAATATACATAAGTGTGTGTACAAACCAAATGTTAGTTTCCGTGGTATGCCAGAAATAGACATTATCTCCTAATTTTCTTTGGCATCCACATAGAGATATATGTTAATTACACACACATCCTTTATGCGTGGAAACAAGTTAAAAATGAATAACATTTTCCATGTCCTATGTTTTGCTTATAACAGGGTAGAGATAACATTTCTCCGCATATGATTTTAGAAAATGTAAAAGAAAAAAAAAACAGTTAAAATATACCGTTCAAATGTATGGTTCAAATATACGGTTCAAATATACGATTCAAAAAAAAATTTTTTCTCCACACGGAATTATTAACACAACAAAGTACTAATGAGTTCGTCAGTTATGCTATTATTTATTTATTTTTAATTCTTACATTGATGAGTCTCCTTGTTTGGGTCTATAGGTACCCGCGGGTAAGTTGTACAGGTAATAAGCGTTGGACAAATCATTTCCTATGGTTTTTATGCACTTCGAGTGGGATAAGGAGGAAAATAGAAAAAAAGGCATATCATGGCAAGGGGAAGGGGGAATGGGAAAATGTAAAAGAAGAAAAGTATCCATTTGTGAAAAAATAAAAAGTAGAAGTAAATGTGTTTATATTAGAAGTATGGTAAACACAATTTTAACGTAAGAAAAAAAAAAAAAAAAAAAAAAAAAAAAATTTACATGTATCCATTGTGGCATAATTTTGTCTAGGGTTAAAGATTTCACTTTTGAAATATGAACGCCTAAATTTCGGTGTATACCTGAACATTCTATACATATCACAATGCCTAAATTTATACTTGCCCACCTTGGGCATTTGGCCCCGCAATCAGCACATTTGTTGTTGCCTTTTATTTTTGTAATATTTTCTATATCACGTTGATATGAGTTACTAGTCTTGCTTGCCATACGCATTCTTCAAAAAAAAAAAAAAAAAAAAACCTTGGTTTTGTAAGCATATATATGTCTAGAGTGCAAATTTTTTATTTCTATTCTTTCATCTAGGTGTAAGATCACTATACAGCTAAATATATGCACACTTATTCCCATAGCATGGGGTACCTGAATTAGTTCTTGCATTAAATTTGCATGTGTATGTATGCATACCCGCGTTACGTACGTGTATGCAAAGTTATACTCTGTTCTTGTGTTATCCTTATTTAAAGCCAGAGTTTTGCAATTATTTAAAAGTAGAAATGTTTGTTTTCTGCAAAATAGGGATTTATTCATAGCTTTGCCTTACATACATGTGTGTCAGAAATAAATGCAAATACAATTTGTATGCATGGACATTAACCGAATGCATGCGGTTTGCATGCAAACCATATGTGTATGTAAAACCATACATTTATGTAATTTTATATATATATATATATATGTATATGTAAATCTTACGCTTATGTTCATATATATTCACATATTTGGAGTTATGTATTGTCAACTAGTAGAGTAAAAAAAATGCCTTTCTAAAATTTTGGGCACAAATTAAAATTTTTTTTTTTATTTATTTATTTTTTTTTTTTTCTTCACTGAATGAAAAGTTAAATCATATGTTTTTGTATAACTTTGGCATAATTTTATAATGTTGTAAATGTGATGCTTAAGTAAGGTTAATTTTACATTGACGTAGAGTGCATATAAGGAGACTTTTTGAAAAAGCAAAATGGGGAGATAAAAATTAGCATGGGTTAGGATTTTAAGGTGTATGTAGCAAAAATTTTAATTTTCAAGGGGCAAGACGTAATTGAAGTAATCGATATGTGTATGTGTAACACATAAATCTATATGTAAATGTATAACATATGAGACTTATTGTTGGCACATTAACACCCCCGTTCTACTTTTTTCATTAAATATTCTCTCCAAATTGTATATATTTTATTTTTATCTCAATAAAGGTGACAAATTAAATAAAATTTCCAAAGGACAATTTTGATATGTCATAAGAGTATGCCACTGAAAGGAAAAGAGAGGGGCCAAAAAAAAAAAAAAAAATGCATACATTTTGCATGTGCTGAGGGATATGAAAAAAAAAAAAAAAAAGAAAAAAAAAAGATGATGATTCCCTAAATCATGCATATATTACACACATGAATACATATATATATAAACTTATACATGTACTGCTCATTCCATACATCACGTATTTATTTACTGGGAATGTATAAATTCATTGTGTACGCATTTGTTAAGTACCTACTTAAATGCATATGCTGCTCATGGTACACGTTTGTTCTCTACCCTTTTGTAAAAAAAAAAAAAAAAAAAATACGTTTTTTTCATTGACTAATAAATTTGAGACCGCGAAAAGACCTTACCCCCCCATCAACGACAATATTAGACTTTTCAATAGAATGCGTAAATTAGGAATGGAAAAGCAAATGAAACAGAAGAAAAAAAAAAAAAAAAAAAAAACACACATTTTTCAGCATAAACAGCATTTTTAACACCATAGTATAAAATACAAATACAATTTCGTTCGTTCTGCCAGTAACCTATTTTTTTCATTCCCCATCAATTAGCTATCTTTTGTAAAAACTTACCCTAAAATTAGTGAAGGCAAAAAAAAAAAAAAACGCAAACGATAAACCATTTTTTAATCTTGTGTTTTAGGAAATTAAGCTAAATATATACATATAGATATATAGACAACGTACCCATAGACTACATTTCTGATAGATTATTATTATACCACCTTGTGCATTTTCTTTTTCCCCATTCTGTACTATTTATTGATTGAACTAATATTTATTTGAAGAAGGTTAATATTCAAGGTCTTTTATTTACGTTTCACATGTGTTCTTTTTTGAAATATTTTTAAAGACTGTTACCTAAAGGTTAACAAATGACTAATTCAAATGGATGATGGTGTTACTATAGCAAAAATTTAATGTCATATAAATTACAAAAAAGAAAGAACGGCTGAGTGTATATAACAACGTAAAAAAGTCATAAACAATAACGCATTCCAACATATGATTGTATGGTCTGTGTTTGTGTTTTCGTGTGTGAAAATCTAATAAAACAGATACGTATTAAATATGAAATATCATTACATAAGCTTATAATTTACACTTGATTTAGCATATTCAGAAATGAATAGTGGGAAAATGAAGTATCATATATATATAAGTACACATACATATATAGATATGTCTACCCATCTGCACATGTTTAAATGGCTACAAACTGATGAGACGGGGTGACAAATGATTCTGTTCGTCCCTCAGTATTTTACTTATGTGGGGTAATATAAAAATATATATAACCGAAACGCAAAATGCTCTACATAAACAGATAATAAGCTTCTTTTTCTTTTCCATCCATCCAACATAATTTATTGACATTGTTATTAACATGTTTATTTTCTTTCTATCAAATGCATATATTGTGATAGTGTCCTGACATACTGAATTCACAAATGGGATACACATTTTGTTGTTTACATTTGTAAAAATATAGAATTTACAAATGTGAGACAAAAATTTAATTCGCTATATGCACAATTGGGGAAGCGTTGGAGTGGAGAAGGGGGAGGGGGAAAAAAAAAAAAAAAAAAATTATCCTACAAATCGTGAAAGAAGGATTTTTTTTTTTTTTTTATTTTGCCTGATATTTCTGAATTATTCACATGAATCGGGTAAAAATGAATGGAAGTATTGTGTGATATGCTTGCAAATAGGTTTTTTTTTTTATTAATTGTTAATTTTTCAACGCTTTCACCTCCCTCCTCAGTAGCAATAACATCTCCAATTTTGTTTGGCAAAATATGAGCAAGTTTTATAATTCCATCAGATGTACCAAATAAAATTGTATATTCATCCAATTTTACAAATGTACTTATCATATCTTTACTAGCTTTTATTTTACCTTCCATGTTGGCCCAAGGTTGTTTTGAAAAAATAGCAATATATCCATTCATGGTTGTACATACAATTTTTGAATTATGTGCGAGTAATTTAGAACACAAAAATTCATCATTATGTTCTGTTGAAATGCTATGTGAACTAATTTTTTTTTTATTTAAAATGTCGAAAAGGGCTAAATGGCCTCCACATGAAACAACAACAGACTTTTCATCAGCATTTAAAAACATACTTGAAATAGTATCATCGAATTCTTTTATTTTATGTATTGGTTTTTTTGATTCATCTCTCATATCCCAATGTTTAATAATACCTGTTTCATCAGCTGTTAAAAATGTGTTTAAACTAGTAAACAAAATAGAACATATTGAATTATTATGACATAAGTTCGTCCATGTAAGTTTTCCTGTGATGTCTGTTAGTGAACATTTATTATCAGAAGATGCTACTAATATTTTTTTCCCATTATTTGAAAAGGAGACACAACTAACTGTTTTTTTGTGGTTATATATGTTCCATTTTTTCTGAAATTTTTTTTTTTCTTCTTTTAATTTATATAATAATAAATTTCCATCAAATAAGCCTGCACATATTAAGTCCAATTTAGGATGAAATTCCACGTCGAAAACTACGGATTCGCAATTGATGGAGGTGTACACACTATTCATTTTTTTTTTTTTTTTTTTTTTTTTTTCTGTTTCACATTTCGTTTGTATGTTTCATTCCCATATTATGGCTAGTTCATTATTTTGAACCTAACTCATGGCATATAAATGATTTATGACAAAGACGTATTAGGTGTCGTGGTATACATACGTATGTATAATATGAGTATATACAGTAAGCCTTCTGGTGGTCAAATGCATTCTTCTTATTTTAAAAAAAAATCTCCTTACATAAACACCATTCCTCTGGATTATTGTTTCATCTTTCTAGTTTAATCTGTTATCTCTTTTTTAGAAGGGATGGGTATTCTTGAAAAAACATACCCAGACTTGGTAGTATATATTTATTATAAGTTTTCCTTACCAAGCTTGTTAATTTCAATCTATACATCTATTTTGGCCTAATAATTTGTTTATTCCTTTTACTACTTTGACAAGTTAATCAATGGTACACGGTACGGAAAGATAAATTCTGTTTCACAGATATACAAAGGATAAATTTGAAGATTTAAAAAGGATTTAGGCAAAAAAAAAAAAAAAAAAAAAAAAAAAAAAACCTGTAAAGTACACAAAAATAACTGTAAATATGTATATGATGAGCTATATGAAAAGCTAAAAAAGGTACACTTGCTAAAACATATAAATTGTTGTTTCTCAAAATGTTCACAGAAAAAAGAGGAAAATTCGTTATGAATATGCCGCAAATTTTAGCAGATTTATCCATTTTTTTTTTTTTTTTTTTTTTTTTTTTTTTTTTTTTTGTGTGAAAGGGCAAAAGAACTATGCTTCATTTGTTATGTTTCGTGATATTATTTAAAACATATTGGTAGTTTTGTTTCCTAAATAAATGAACAAAATGGGTAAGCATAAACAAGTAATTGCGTACGAATGTATTGATTAATGTATAGCTTAAATATGGACCCTAAAGGACGAATAATTTTAGCTTACTAATAGAAGGAATTTTCCTTTCTTTAATGATTTGCAATGTACATTTTATGAGATAATGTTCACTAGATAATGGAAAATTGATTTAATAAGAACTACACATACACACTTGGCTTTGTGTTGTTCCTTACATATGACGTTCTAACTTGCACCTATATGTTGGAATGAAAATAACAAAAGACACTTTTAACTAATTAACAAACAATGAATGCAAAAGCCAACAGTAGGTAAAAAGAATTTTGTGCTGAAAAAATGGAGGCAGAAATAATGTCCTTCTTCTCATACGAGAGCAGTTTTTATAACTTTGATCTGAGGAATAGAATGTTGTTATGCATTAATTTTGCAAAGACAAAATATACAAAAACCCAGAATAAGTGGAAGTTGCACACATAAATATCATCTGTTTTTTTTTTTATAGGGGCGCTTGTATATGATGTTTGGTACACCTCAAGGAGTGTATCACCCTTTTGACATTAATATATTCAGGAAATGTTCAACTATTCATAGAACGAAATAGTATATTGCCAAACTTGAAGTTTGGATTTGTTTGTTTTGTTTTTTTATTGAGAAAAAAAAAAGAAAAAAAAAAAAAAAACATCGAAAGGGAGACATATTTCTAAAAATGTTTATTCCTTTTGGATACACTGCCCTTGTTTAACAGTTGAATTGATATTGAGTAAATCTCATATTTGCTATGCTGTACTTGATCATAATGACAAATCGAGAAACATTACAATCAATAGACATTATTCAGGAATTTTTAATCACATTGTACGTTTTAATATAAGCTATACCAGATAAGAGTGGTTATTCACTACTGTGTTTATAAGTTTATAAAAGTGGGAGGGGATATATGTATATATATATATTTTCTCCTGTTTTTTTTTTTTTTTTTATTTTTGTCCCAAATCAAAGAAATAAAAAAAAAAAAAAAAAAACCTCACCAAACGAAACGCTTTAAAAAACATGGAAGGAAAAGACAGAAACAGTACCACTGATGCAAATTTGTGTAAATATAAAAACAAAAAAATAGTTAAAACAATAGATGATATAAATGAATTTGTTAAAACATATCCTCGAACTAATAGAGAATTAAATACGTATATTATAAAAAAGGATAAAGGCAGTGATGTTTCTCTTTTAAAAAGTTTTATTTTTTATATATTTACTCAGATAACAAGCATTTTAGCTGTGTGTTTGGTATTGTTTTGTATTGGATTTTTAATTGGAAATCATATTTCATCTAAATCTTCAGTAATTAATTCTGTCATATATAATTTCTACTTCCCAAATGATATAGGTGCAAATTTTTATGTAGTTAATAATAAACTTAATTCAAATGGCAACTACATGAATCAAGCAAACAACACATTATCGTTAGACGTCATAATTAATTTTAACTTTGATTATAATAATTTATTTATGGGAACATTAATTAGCAGCGTGTTGTTATATTATTACCCGGCTAATGACATTGGTTTAGGGGCTAATGAGTTTTGTTACAGTTCCAAAAGTGGTATATTATTAAGAAAGCAAGAAAAATATTCAAAAGGGGAATTTACCAATTTTCATAAGAACGATGAATTGTTTAGGATTTTTGCCAAAGAAAATTCGTTAGTCTTTTTAAATTATTCAATGAAAATGAAGCAGCGTGCTCAAATAACGTACATAAATGATTTATTATATGAAAATCTAGATGTGTACCCAATTGGGGGAAGTGATATTACCATATCCCCTGGTTTAATGCAAGGCATTAATTCGATTCATGCATTAGTCAGTATAAATCATACTGTTAAAGATAAAACTATATTAGATCGGTTAACCAATGATTGCAAAAAAGGAAGAATATATGTACAATTACACTTTTCAAGCATTCAGATTAAAACTATTCTTTTTCGTTTTCAACCACAAACTGGAATTTTCTTGCCTTTCAGAGTTCCATGTAAAATCATTCCGGAGACAAAAAGGTTGAACAATGAATATCGTCTAAGTATTATTAAGAATTATAATGTTCAAAAATCAGCTATCAAGAATATTAACTTTTTTATCAATTAGACTTTTTCGAGGGAAAGCAACCCCCTCTCCTCACTCCTATCACTGGTCTGCATGCATATGTGCAAAGGTATATAACGTTCTACTTAATGTCCATATCTTTTTAATATTCCAACGCATACATCATCCTTATGGTTCGCTTAAGCATAAGCAGGTATACATATTTGTATGTACACTCATCATTTTTTTATACCACTTTTTCTGTTAAACCAAATTTACTAACTAGATGAGAAAATTTTCATGCATTTTTTCACCCCTCTCACCATGATCCCTTAAGCGTGCCACTATAACACTTGTGCATGAACATACTTGCTTGAAGTATGGTCTATGCATTCTTGGTCTATAGCCTTATGTTGAATGGTATGGTGAAATTGCAGCTTGAAATTGAAGTTAAAAATATCAAGGGGGTATATATATATATATATATACCTGCCTTTTTCTCTGTTTTTACACATTTTGCATATTATTAGCAGCGTGAAAAGTTTCCCCTTTTTATGCAATCCATTTGTAGAACTTTTACTTTTCCAAGTTGTGTACAAAACATATACATTATCATTTATATGCACTTATGCAAGCATATGAAAAGTGTACAATGTCGTTTATGTAATTGCGTGTATAAATAGATGGCAGTACATATGCTTTACACGTGTATCCATGGAGGATATTTAATTACAGAATTGGATTTTTTTTTTTTTTTTTTAATATGTTTTATTATATTTTATTATATTTTATTATATTTTAATTTTTTTTTTTTGTTGGAGACTTATGGAACACTAACAAATGATGGCTTGTAATATGTGAACATATATCCTTGCCTTAACTTATTTCCGTTTTCCATTTAAAATTTAGTAATATATTGTTACACTTAAATGTTTTAAGAGAGAGAAAATAAATGATTGGTTGAACGATGGAACAAGTAATAAAAAATTACAAAAAGCATACACAATTTTTCCCCTCTCATTGGACATAAACATGATAATACAGCTTATGTTATATTACCCTGGTGTGGAGGAACTTTTTTTCTTCTTTTTTTTTCTATTTTTTGGATCCCCTAATCTCCCTTAGGTTAAAATTACACTTGGTATTATCCCCGTAAGCCTTTGCCGCTTAAGAGCATATTGTGTCCTTTTTTTTTTTTTTTTTTTTTTTTTTTTTTTTTTTGCAATATGATTTAACATTGTTCGGCAAAAAAGTGGAACAAAATAAATATTATCCTTTTTTGAACTTATGGGAAAAACTAAAAACTCATAAAGGTGTGTACCGTGTATCCACTTTTTTGCCGAACAATGTTAAATCATACTGCAAAAACAAAAATGCGGGAGGTATGTATAATATATATATATATATATATATATACATATTCATACACATATATGTTGGCATATATACATATAATATATTGCTACTCACAAGAGCTACGCTGGAGGATTAATTTGTTTCCTGTAGAGGAGTTAACATTTTTTTCCCTGTTAATGTTACATTAACATTTTGAAATTTTTTTTTACGATTTTATTAACTTATTTTTTTGTATGTTTTTAACGTCCTATTTTTATTTCCTTCTATTCATGTACATAGGAATGTTGTTTTTTATCCTTTTTTATCCTTTTTTTTTTTTTTTTTTTTTTTTTTTTTTTTTTTTTTTCCTTATAAATAAAAACAGATTTTTTTGAATTATGCAGTACTTCATTTATTTGTCAAGGGGGATTACAATTGTTTTTCCCATATAAAATGTTATTGCAAAAAAAAAAAAGGGATATTTTTTGTATATATATATGGGATGCACGTAAGTTATACATACTTATGCATATAAGAGGCACATGACTTATTTTAAATCCACTTTTTTTTTTCTCATTTTTAGGTTATGTTTTGAAAATTTCCCGTATTGTTTCATGAATTGCTTCACGTAATGCTTCGTGTCATGCTTCGTGTCATGCTTCGTGTCATGCTTCGTGTAATACTTCTTGTAATGCTTCGTGTAATACTTCTTGCAATGCTTCATGCAATGTTTCATGCAATTTTTCAAGTATTTTTTGAAGTAATTTTTTATGTAATTTTTTAGGTAACATTTCAAGCTGTTTTTTACTACATTACTATTTAAATGAATTTTGAATCCTTTTCATTTTGTGTATTCAATTTTTTTACGCCCACAGTAACTACTCCTAGAGGGGATATATTTGTTTCACATTCGATTTTAGTGTGATATGTTAGATTACCTTTTTTTTTTTTTTTTTTTTTTTTTTTTTGGAAGGGGAACTTTATTTTTTAGTTGCATTTTTCCCGTATATCACCATTTTGCTTCTGTTTTTGACAAGTTTTTATAACCCATTTAACACATTTTTTTCCAAAAAAAACATGTCTATATAAACATGCTTAAGGGAGATTCAGCAAGGGGAAATATAACCTGTTGGAAAGGTCATGATGAACTGGTCACAGCGAAAGAATTATTCGCAACTCACTTGAAAGTGGACGAAAGGACAAAACAAATTTACAAGAACTTCAACGTGAAGGAATATGTAATTGAAGTTATGCAAAACAAAGGGAAAGAAAAGTGCGAGGAGGAGACGTGTGAGAAGGTGAATGATAATAATGAGGATAAAAATGGGAGGTGCGTAGGAGGAAATGAAGATGGAAAAGAGATTGAAAGGATGAGTAAAACAAATAATAGGAATATTTCGAATGGGGAAGATAATGAAGATAATGCAAACGAAGCAGATAATGAACACAGTGGTGGAGATACAGATAGTGAATATCGAAGAGGAGACGAACATGCATATAAAGAAGAATTACAGTTTTTAAAATCCAATCCATTGGATCTGAACAGATGGCATGAATTTTTAGAAATATATGAAAGAGAAGAAGCATATGAACTATTTTTATTAATTTTTCCAAGGTGTACATTATATTGGACAAAATATGCAGAATTAAAAATAAAAAAAAAGGAATATAATGAAGCTTATAAAATATATAGAAAATGTATTGATGCAAATATATATGATTTGAAATTATTTTTTTCGTTTTTGTATTTTACTTATCATACTTCATCTATTCATGAGTATATAAGTTTTTTATTTGAAGGCTTGAAATATGTAGGAACAGACATAAAATCAGGAAGCATTTGGGTTGAATTATTATACATATTAATAAAAATACACAACACTAATTTGATACTAAATAATGATATACAAAATTTATTATATGACCCTTTTAAGAATATAAATAATAGAAACAGAAATGAAGAAGGCCCATTATTACCTTCTGAAAATGAACAAATGATATTCAGTTCACCTATTCCAAATAAAACCTCCAAAAGTATTTTATATACAGAACATTACACAAATGATGGGAAATTAAGAAAGTTTTATCATTGTTGGATCAATAATCCAACAAAATATTTAGATAAGGTATGGAAGTGTTTCTGTTCATATGAAAAAAGTATTACAGATAATTTCACAAACAGTTCTTTAGCTGCATATAATACACAATATTTAAATTCCAAAAATGCCTACAGAGAATTGTACATTTTGTACAAAGAATTAAATCGTGATAGAAAATCTAAAATTTGTAAAAAATGTAAATTAATAATACCTATTAATAGAAAATATAAAATTGAAAATTACGTCCTACTTGGAAAATGGATGAAAATTATTAATTTTGAAAAATCAAATTCGCTTAAATTATCTTTACCTTTAGTGCGTAAAAGAATTATGTATGTGTATGAACAGGCATTAATACATTTACAATTTAATGCCGATTTGTGGTTTTCGTATTTCCAATTTTTGCTCCTGAATAAAAAACATAACTATGCCATTAGAATTATGAGAGAAGCAATAGAAATTTATTTACCCTTTGATGAATTGTTAAAATTGAATTTTGCTTACTTTTTTGAAAAACATGCACTATTAAACCAAGCCCATTTTATTTATCAGTTGATGCTTAATGAAGTAACAAAAAAGAGAAAGAAGTTTTCTCTTCTCTTTTTGCACTCGAAGAAAATGTTTAAAAAGGGATTCTATGGTTTTATGAGGAAGAAGACAAGGAGGAGAAAGGTTAAAAGGAAGATATCTGAAAAAGATCAAATTCATAGAACAGATGCTGCAGCTGATAATATTGACGAAAAAAAAGATACTGATCAAAGTTACACCAGGAGCGATGGGGAAGGAAAGAAGGGATGTAAAAAAATCAAAGCAGTTAGGACATCTCCAGAGAAGACAAACACTGCAGGCATTAATAGCAGCAGTGAGATCGAGCATGAACACGGGAAAGATAAAAACAGTGGAAGTTATTCAAATGTGGAAGAAACAGACCAGATGCAGAATGCAAAGAACAAGGGAAATGATGATCTTAGCCCGTGTGAAGACAATTTTAAGAAAAAATTTCATCAGTGTGAATACGAAAAAATAGATGAAAGAAAAAAATATTTTATAAAATACATTAACCTAAATAAGAGGAAAAGAAGAGATTTTGTTTTCGTGCACTTCTTAAATTTTGTTAAAAGGAATTATGATGAAACGATATGGAGATATTACACGGGAATAATTTTAAATGAGAAAAAGTGTTCACAGTATATATATTATTATTGTGCAAATATGGAAAGGAGAATTTTAAAAAATGAGAAGAGAGCTTTATACATTATGAATGAAGGTTATAAGAAATATGGATCAAAGAAAGGGTTTCTTTTATTTTACATTAAGTTTTTAATAGAAAAGGGAAATATTTGTGAAATAAGATCCTTAATTTACAAATTTATTCATAATTTTTATGCAAAATTTTATAAGGAGTATGATAAAGAACACAGTTGTTCTAGTAGAAAGAATGTAAAAGTGAAATTAGGACAAAATGAATTCAATCAATTTGACTCCAATTACCTAAAATTATTGAAAAAAAAAAAAAAAACTTGTAGCAAATATTGGACTTTACTAATGCAGCTAGAAATACTATACGGTGATATTAACAATTTGAATAAAATTTGGGAAACGAAACTGAAATATGAATCAGGTTACAATTTGGAAGAAAATAAAAACATTCTTATAGATTTTGATAACATATCGAATAATTATGAACATATTTCATTAGATGATTCTACACTCACAGACATACTTAGTAAGGGTTGTCTTGAAAATTTAAAAAAAAACGATATTGATAATTTGCAGTTTAAAATAAATTTACTTAATTCTCAATTGTTTGGTGGAATGTCTTTAAAAAAAACATTCACCTTCTTTCAAGTTAGTAGTACAAATGTATTTGAAGAATTATTATCCTTAAATGATTGCGTAACGAAAATTAAAAAAAAGGAGAGGAAAAAAAAAACAGAGAGGCAAGAGCAACATCAAGGGGAAAAGAAAAAAAAAAAAAAAAATGCGATGGAAGTAGAGGAAGAAGATGAAGATGAAGAAGAAAAGAACCAACGTGTGAGATTTCTGAATGAACATGCAAATAAAGAACACTTAAATGAGAGCGATATAAGTGAAAACCGCATGAACAAAAGGAACCCATGCCAAAGTAACTTCAACGAAAAGAGAGGGGAAGAAGGAGGAGGAGGCATAGATAATAACGAGTTTGAAATCGTCAACTTAAGGAAACAAAAAAGGCGTTTCATTAAAAAAGGCACAATGAAATCTACTTATGATTCTTTCAATTTTTTGGATTCTGGAAAAAGTGTAAAAAAAAAAAAAGAAAAGAACATTAGTAGCAGTATGAAGAATGGAGAAAATAAAATAGAAGACAAAACAGTCGTAACAGGTGACACGGTTACTTATATCAGTAGACCGAATTTAAAAAAAATGATTTTATATAAACCATTGGAAAATTATGAGCATTCTGAAATTGATGGAGGAAAAATACCTGATAAAAAAAATATATCTATGAGCGAATATCCATATTGTGTAAATGATATGAACAAAAATGATGATAGGAATTATTTCTTTAAGCGTGAATACTTTACTATGCCTAATATAATAAACGATTTTTTAAGTTTGTTACCGGAAGAAAATTCAAACCTAAATGTGTCAGATAATTCTATTGATTACTTAATTACTTCCTTACAAAAATTGACAATTCCAAAATTGAAGAAATTTCCTTATGAGCCTATACCTGTAAAGGATATCATACAAATTAAAAGCGAGTTGAACAGTTAATTTCTTTTGTTATGTATATATCATCTGAAGTTTTTTCATAAATATCATACGAATGTGCAAAACGGAGGAGGCACGAAACGGAAGAAAGGAAAAATGCATGAACCATGTATGTTGATAGCTAATAGTTTAAAACACAATGGGTAGTTTTTAATAAGACGAACAGATAATTCTCCTATTTTGTTATTATGTAAAATGTTGTACACCTGTGTCAAACATTGTAGTATTGTGAATAATCAATTTTATAAATTGGATAATATCCAATGTAGTTTTTTTTTTTTTTTTTTTTTGCTTTCTTGTTTTGTTGTGGCCTTATTTGTTCTTCGATCTGTCTTTTTGTTACCTTTTTTTTTTTTTTTTTTTCAAGTATTTTTTTTTATTCCTCATGCTCATTTATAATTTGATTAACATAACTTACATTTTTGACGTAATTCAAAATACAAAAATGCAAGGTTCCTGTGTAGCTTATCGCTATGAAGAAGTATATATGTACAAACACATATACATATATATGTATATATATATGTATATATTTATGTATATATATATATGTATATATTTATGTTTATGGCATTTACGTGTTAACGAAAAGCATGCATTCATGGATGAAAAAAGTATGCGCCATCCGGGTTATAAACACCATGGAAGAATATTTTACTCAACTGTGAATCTGTGTGGAGTATATAAATATGATTTTTCTTTTGCATATATGTTTACAGTAGGAGAGTGTGAATATGTTATACATTTAGAAAAAATCAAATTGTACAAAGGTAAAATTCAACTGGGGTATGCATGTTGTTTTTGGTATATTAATAAATCAATTATTTTAAAAAAGTACTTTCTTTTACACAGATTCAACTAATTTTATAGGTGCCATATATTTGGTGCACCACATTTGTGAAGTTTATTCAGTTATCGTTTGCTACAAGTTACTTTGAGTTTCACAAGTGCAGATTTTTAATTTTTCTTTTGTTACACTATTTTTTATGAGAAAAAAAAAAATAAATAAAATAAGTAAATAAATTAGGTAAATAAAATAAGGTAAGTAAATAAAATAAATTAGGTAAATAAAATAAATTAGGTAAATAATATAAATTAGGTAAATAATATAAATTAGGTAAATAAAATAAAACTTGGTTCATTCATAATATGCATAAAAGGGGTTCTTTTGAATGATGAGAAGATTTTCTCCATTGAAGACGGAGATATGTTGAATTGGTAGTTATACATGCATGCAAAAATATGTGCATGTACATGTAAATGTACACATATTGTCGCTAACTTATTTCATACAATTTTGTGCAACAATTTTGACATAAGGGTTCGCCTAATATATGGAGTAAAAAGTAGAATCAAATAAAGATGACAACCATAAGTGCTCATTACGTATGTAGATGCTTGCGCACGTAAATGTGGTGGGATATTTTTATTCTGGTGATCATGATAAGCCTCATTATTGTTTTAAAAGTTTGTTCTCTTTATATTATTCTCTCATTTGTGCATGAGTTGGTTACTGTTCTTTTTAATAATATATATTTTAAGGAGAAAGAAGATTTATTTTGTTAAATTTTAATCTGGCCCAGATATTTGTTTTGTTCATATAATAATGGGGAAATGTGTCTACTAAGTTAGCAATTTGTGAGTGTGCGTTATTTGTTTTTCATTTTTTTTCTTCCATTTTAAGTTTTCATTTTTAAAAGTAGTTATACCACTTTGCATGCGCGCGTGCATGTACGCCTGTATATGTGCCTATCGGTTCACTTGTTAATATCTAAACATGCATGTGCATGTATACACTTTTATACATATATATGTATGTATGTAGGTATGATAAATGTTATACTCCGTGGTGTATAGAACAACATGTGACTAGTGCTTTATCCTTACTGGGCTCCAAGAGCTAATACCTTCACGATACCCTCTGCAAAGATATACGTATATATATATATATATACACATAAAAACTTATTTTATTTTTTATTTTCTACATTTAAGATGACAAACGAGTAATTTTTAACGCCATCCTAGCACTGTTCACTTATGCACTGCTCTATTTCTGCCACATGACAAATAAAAACGGCGTTAATGACATATCCTCTCCAGCAAAAACTTTATCTTGCATTGTGATTTTTGTCAGTGTGAGGATCTTTTTTGTGTATATTCATATGTGCATATCTGTACATAGTCAATTGTATACATATAGCGCACTTATATATATACATGTGTAAGTGCAATTGCATATTTGTGTAAAAGAGAACATGGGTATATGTTGACGTATTTACCTTCATTGGTTCGTCTTTTTCCTGTTGCTGTGTCAGGGCTAGAACAATTTTTGTGACGCTCTTTTTTTTTTTTTTTTTTTTTAAAAAGCGAAAAATTTTAAGAAAATATCTTCACATATCTATGCAATTGTTGCTTAAAAAAAAAAAAAAAAAAAAAAAAGTAAATATAGTGTATTTTTTCGTTAATTTCATTTTATGTAACATTTTCCAGCTACCACAGTCTTTTTTTTTTTCTTTTTTTTTTTTTCAACTCGGATGCTTGTTAAGCATTCATTCATGTACATATGCTGTCGTAAGAATGTAAACATATATGAATTCCCATAAGAATCGATTTCGAAACAAAATTAAAAGAATTATTTGATAAATGTAAATATTTAGCTTTCAAATTATTTATATTTTTATATACGCATTTTTCGACCTCCCTTTTTTACAATTAATATGGTTATGATAGGAAATCATTTTAATGTTTTTTTTTTTTTTTTTATAACTCTCTCTCATTTTAAAGTTTTTATCTACATAAAAATTAAAGCCTCTTTACAGAACTTTTTTTTTTTTTTTTTTTTTTCCTTACACCATCTGTGTAAACGAGGAAAATTTTTTTCTCTTTTTATAGCATAATAAACGAAAAATTAATTCAGAATAATAAGTAACATACCATATGGTTTGTCTACAAAAAAGGGTACGTTTTTGTTCTGGACCACACAGGAAAATATATTAGGATCTGCAAATTTGTTTGTTATTCCGTTTTTTATTATTTTTTTTTTTTTTTTTAATACATAAACAAAACAAGTGAATAAAATTCACAGGTTTTTGGACATCCTTATGTGCACACGTTGTCACATGAACCAATGCAGAATACAACTTTATATAGGTTACATATTACACAGGGGGTATATCATTCTTCAGCATTTTTTTCGCAAGAGCAAAAAATGCATGTTTGAGTTTATTAGACACGGCTTCATATATTCTGCTCATTAGAAATATATTTTGGTATGTTACCCCGTCTGGGTAAATACATATGTTTTATGAAAAAAAAAAAAAAAAAAATTAAAGGAATAATTAGTCAATTTGTGTTTTTTTGTTGACTTTTTTTCACCAAACATGGATTATACCTTAAATGATGATTGGATTATGAGGAGGAACGAGATATTTTGCGATGTCATAAACAACTTAGTGACAACCTTTTATGAGATTCAATACAAGTTCTTTTTTGTCAAGAGTGAATTATCATATATAAATGAACCCATAAGTCACGTAGATACACTTCAGAACATAGGATATAATCTTTTCCATGTAATCATTACGTTCGTTATTGATTGCAAAGCTTTATATAATCTTAAGCATGTAATCAATAAGACATTTCAGATTTCCGATCGGGGTCGCGTAGCATACTATTATTACTTATTTGAACATGAAAAATTTATGGATTTATTTAAAAAATTAGAAGGGTGCATGTTAGACTGTCAGAAATTAAATATATACTTATCCCGTCAAATTGATAAATTGAAGAATAAAATGACTATAAATAAATGTAATCATGTTGGAAATAAGTAAAAAATAAAATGGGTTTTGGATGAATTTTAAGAGGAATGTCCAATATGTTATTACAACAGTGTAACATAATGATTAGTTAGAAAGATTTAATCGTGGATAAAAGTCCAAAAAAAAAAAAAAAAAAAAAAAACGTATTGGCTCGTACAGCTCTGAACCAACTAATAAAGCATATTCCATCCCCGAAAGAACATTTGACTGAGCAGAGTAATAATAAAAAAACTCGTGTTACAGAAGGAATAGGAAATATGATTAATTCCACACGGGTAGCAATACATTTGACATTACTGAACAAGCATGAATCGGTAATAACTGTTTTAGTATTAAAACAATTCACAATAATAAATGTGCTCATAATTCTTTTTAACATTTTAGTTTGTACATATATGTGTGCATATATGCCCAGTGAACACATATAAATGTTTTAGTCTTTTACTAATTGAATTTGTATAGTTTTAATTTGTTTATTTTTAAATTTCTTATTAATTAGATTAAACAGTTACAACAGACAAAAGTCTTTGTATTATAAACTAACTATTGTGTAATAATACACATCCTTGTTTTTGTATTTTACTCACAATTTTATTGTAACTCTACCAAAATATGCCCATATTAAGACAGCTGAACCGTTTTGCGTGCACTTTATGCGGGAATTACGAAAATTACCAAGAACAAACAGCCTAAGAGAAAATGTGAACGTGTCAAATATTTTCATACCTTAAGCACGCGAAAAAAAAAATCTCTCTCCCTCTCCCTCTCCCTCTCTCTCTCTCTCTCTATATATATATATATATATATATATATATATATATATATATATATATATGTGCATATTCGAATTTCCTTTTTAAGCATTCATACAACAGAAACGTGTACGCTTTTACACCTCGCGTGAATCCTGAAAATTCCACTGTTTTGTCACAAAACACCTCGAAGTGCGAATATATTTACAAGCACGAAAAAGGTAAGGGTGAAGTAGAATCATATGTGACTTTTAACTCGCAAGTATATTTACGCAAATCATTTTTATTATACTCAGCTATTTCAAACAAGTTATGCTTCTTTTCCCCTTCTCTTACCATAAGTGGAAATATAAGGTTTTCTGTTATATGCTAAAAATGGAAGCAAGAAAAAAAAAAAAAAAAAAAAAAAAAACAGGATTTAAACCTGATGGGTCAGGGGCTACAGTATTTATACCCAGCAAATCTCATTTAAGGAGATGAATCAGAAGGATGAATATATGTAGAAAAACAATTTTTTATAATACTGTTAAATTCATTTCTTTATGAAGAAGTACACAATTTTGATGTTTCACATCTTTTGCGTTTGGTTTGTGGTTGAAGGCTTGTGACATGCTTCTATATTTTATTGTTCATCCCACTAATAATTCTTTAGAAAGTGATTTAAAAACAAAACAACAAGCTCCAATATGGAGTCAATGTGTCCAAATGTTATAATACAATTCTTAATAAAATATGCTTAAATGGGTATATGAGCTTTTTGGTAATGATACAATGTTAAATACAATTTCAGTTCTCCTGTTTTTAAATGTAACATAAAGAGTAAAGTTTCTCACAAGTAAATCAGTTAACCTGTATTCCTTTTACCTGTCCTTTTTTTTTTTTTTTTTTAAAGTTCCGTAATGTAGTACCACCTATGTCATGTATATTAAGTAAAAGCAAAAAAAAAAAAAAAATAGGAAGTAGTAAGAGAGACTAAAAGTTCACACAATTTTCTTCAACGTACACACACATGTGATGTGTATTGTTTGTTCACACATTCCATTTCTAGCGCACAATGTGCATATTTAATTGTAATTCATATGAAAAAAATCTAGACATGTTTAAACAAATGGAAAATAATCCTAAGGCAAAATATTTGATTTTAAGAGTACACAGAGATTTGTAACTTTTATATATTCTTGTTAAATACACCAATTATCATATAAAATTTGTGCAATGCTTCGTTTTCCAATGATATGAAAAAATTATATTTTACGAAATATACCTTTTCAAAATTGTATTTATTTGTAAATTACCTTTTTTTTTTTTCTTTTTTTTTAATTAAATGTCTTTTAAAAAGTATACCGTGTTAAGAATTCACATTAAAGGAAGGCTGTATATACCCCCTCGTACATATGTTTCACAAGCCATAAATGTGCAATCACACAATCACAGCGTGTTTCATGTTTAAGTAAATCTGCCTTACCTAATTTATTCGTCTTCACCAAGCCTTTATTTCCTAGCAAAAAAATTCACCCCAATTTTATAAGGCAAATTCGAGTATTGCTGAACCATTAAATATGTATATTTATATGTACATATTAATGTACAACTGATGAAGTACTTTTTTTTTTTTTTTTTTTTCTTAACTTTAGAATCATTTCAAAATGGAGGATCAAATGGAAAATTGGAAAAAAACGAAAGCTCAAGTTTTCTATTGGTAGTTTTATTAATCATACATGAAACAGCTTAGAATACAAAAAATTTTCTTTACTCAAGGTTTCTATCATTTGCAATTTTTCAGATGAATTCCATTTCAAATTGTGTACATGTAAATATACACAGGTTTGTTCGTTTGTTAGGTTGATTTTTCTGCATATTCGTTTGTCAGGCTATTTTCTCTGGATGTTCGTTTGTTAAGGTATCTTCTCTGGATATACTTTTGTTAAGCTTTTTTTCTACATGCTCATTTGTGTGTGTGTTGGCGGAGGGTGGGTATGTGTTTATTTGCCTCTGTTAGTAATTACGTGGACATTTATTTACACACCAAATTCCGCGACAGTACTCCTCTTTTACGATCACGTAGAGTAATATGCCGAGTAAGGCAAATACATCATATTTTTGTGATAAAAATATGGGTACACAAAATAAATTATTTATGCAAAAGGTACAAGAAAAAAAGAAAAAAAAAGTGTATTAAATGATATGGAGTGTCATTTTTTCTTAATTATAAGCACTTGGGTTCCCTTGCAAGCGTTATTAGTTGTTCAAGATATATCTCACTAGTATTCAAAGAATTTTTTATTTTCCAAAATGGCTTTAAAAAAGAAAACATAGTAAATCTCTACACTTATACGTTTTTGTTATAAGAAAAATGTTGCGAAATGATATGATGAATTTATATATACGAGACTCTTACAATTTTTATATTCCAAAAGTTGCGTATTGCAATAGTGTGTATAATTTTTTCAAGAAAAATAATTCCTTAGAATAAGAAATGTAAAATAAAGCAATAAAATAGCAGAAGCAATTACATAAGTAGGTGTGTAAAACATTTAGTCACATTTTATAGTTCAATAAAATTTAAAAGGCGTCATATAAAATATATGTGTCACACGATGCTTTTTAATCCCGTCAGAAGAAAAAAATGAAAACGTTTTTTTTATTAAGAAAAAGTGAAAAATATTGGAAAATATTCCCTCACATCTCCCCCATAAGGAGAAGTTAATTTTTCAAGAAAACAAATTAAAAATTGTTAATCAAGCTGATTCAGTAAAGTTCAATAAACTTATGGTATTACACACATGTCCTTACAGAAATCACTGTGCGCAAGAATTTCCTTTTCATAATATCCATTAAAGGGTTAAACGTCTAAGGTCATCAGCTTTTTTAAGGAAAAACCGACAGATTAATTCCAGTGCAAGAAAGGAATAAAAATGTAAGGTCAAGTTTACGACAAATTTCGAGCTATGGTTTAAGGGCAAAGTCGAGATGTAGCACAAACACCAGATCTAGGCATGCTTTAAAGACAAGGTCAAGGTATGGCTCAAGGACTAGATCTAGGAGTGGCTTAAGGACAAGGTCAAGGTATGGCTCAAGGACTAGATCTAGTTGTGACTTAAGGGCAAGGTCGAGGTGTGGCTCAAGAACTAGATCTAATTGTGACTTAAGGGCAAGGTCGAGGTGTGGCTCAAGGACCAGATCTAGGCATGGCTTACGAAACAGATCTATGCATGCTTTAAAGGCAAGGTCAAGGTGTGGCTTAAGCACAAAATCGAGGCCAGGCTTAAGGTAAAAAATCAGATCAAGGCTGAGTGCGGCGAAAATGAAACAGGTCAAGTGAACTTAAGCATTCCAAACAGCTCAACAAAAAAAAAAAAAAAAAAAAAAAATTAAATATAGAAAATTAGTAATTATGCAATTTATTTATCACATTCATGTGAGCATGTAAAATAGGGTGATATTTGTTGCAATTTTCCGCATATTTCCATATTTTCCTTTTATTGTAAATGAAGAGTTAATTGAGGAAATCGTAAAAAAAAAAAAAAAAAAATTATATGAACATATTTACAGTCATAATAAAAAACATATATTTACCTTCAAATATTATAATTTTTTTTCTCCCTTAAATTCTCATTCTTTTGTTTGAATTTATATGTTAATTAGAACATCAATAGGAATAAATTAAATCAGGATGTTTTTTTTCATTCGTTTTCCTATTTATTGATAATTTTTGCATTTTTTCAAGATTTTTTTTTGAAAAATTAAATGGGCTTTAATATGAATAAGGTTAATCTCACATTTATTATATATATAAAAAATGTAAACGCAAACATAACAAAAGACTGCAGGAAACATTTGACCATTACACAAAATTGCATAGTATGCTGAGAAGCGTATATATTGCAAAGCCTAATTAATTTATTGTCCTTCTTTTTGGTAATGGTTCAAAAAAAAAAAAAAAAAAAAAAAAAAAAAAAAAAAACTTTTATAATTAAGGGTTTGGCTGTTTTTTTTTTTTTTTTTTTTTTTTTTTTTTTTTTCTTTTGGTTGTAAGTAATAACGGTTGTTTTATTTTTCTACATGATATTTTATATGTAAAAGAAATGGTTCACTATTCTTATATCAAGGAGAAATAACATTTAAAATATCTTAGCTGTGTTCAATTTCTGCAAGAATTCCCTATATGCATGTACATGTTCATTTTACAAAATCCCTTGTTTTCATAGAAGACATATATGTATGAGTGTAAAAGTGCATGCCTTCAAAAAAAAAAAAAAA